TATCTTTCCCTAAATGTAGTAAGTTAACAACAAAGAAAAATCCTCATTTCCATTTTCTGGAGTTCATTTTGATAAAATATTACTTTATGTGTTCCGATGCATATAGGCCTTTTGCCTTTGTGTTCTCTTCTCCTAAAAATATCCTCCTTTGATCTCACTGTGTGAATGTCTAGAGTCCTGTAGAATTTACCATGTTCCAGTATATATTAGATTCAGCTTCTGCCTATGAGAAAATATGTACCTTTGTCTCTCAGAGCTTGGCTTACCTCACTTAACATGATTTGTTCTAGGTCCATCCATCTTCCCGCAAATGATATAATATTCTTTCTAATGGCTGTGTAAAATTCTGTTGTGTACAAGTACCACATTTTTTGGATCCATTCATCTATTGCAGGGCATCTAGTCTGTTTCCACAACTTGGATATTGCGAACAGTACAGCAATGAACATGGATGTGCAAGTGTCTTTATGGTATCCTGGCTTGTGATGTTCTGGGTAGATGCCCAGGTTGCTGGGTTATAGGGAAGATATATGTTTAGTTTTTGGAGGAACCTCCAGACTGCTGTCCAGAGTGGTTTTACTAGTTTACATTCCCACCAGCAGTGCAATGGTGTTCCTTTTCCTCAAATCATGATGTTGACCAATCTGATTGGGGTAAGATGGAATCTCAAGAGTTGTTTTGAGGGTTGGGAAGGTGGCTCAGTGGTAGAGCGCTTGCCTTGCATGCATGAGGCCCTGGGTTCAATTCCTCAGCACCATATAAGCAGAAAAATCCAGAAGTGGCACTGTGGCTCAAGTGGTAGAGTGCTTGCCTTGAGCTGAAGAGCTCAGGGGCAGTGCCTAGGCCCAGAGTTCAAGCCCAGGACTGGCAAAAAAAAAAAAAGGTTTTTTTTGATTTGCATTTCCTTTTTCATTTCTTTGCCAATCTTACCTCTTCTTCTGAGAAGTGTCTCCTTAGTTGCTTTGCTAATGTAGTGATTGGTTTATTCTGTTTTGTGGGGGGAGGTTAGTTTCTTGAGCTTCCTTGCATATAATGGATATTATGCCTTTGATGCTGTCTTCCTAATTTAGTAACTATGTCCTTTGATGTGCAGAAACCTTTTATTCTGATATAATCCCATTTGCCAAGTCTCTCCTATCTGTTGTGCCCCTGGAACTCTTTTAAAAAGTTTGTAGCCAAGCTGGTGGCTCACACCTGTAATCCTAGCTACTTAGGAGGCTGAGATTTGAGGATCGAGGTTCAAAGCCAGTCTGAGCAGGAAAGTATGTGAGACTCTTATCTCCAATTAACCACCAGAAAACCAGAAGTGGCGCTGTGGTTCAAGTGGTAGAGCGCTCACCTTGAGCTGAAGAGCTCAGGGACAGTGCCCAGGCCCAGAGTTCAAGTCTCACGACTGACAAAAAAACGTTTCTGCCTATGCTTATGAGTTTTAGTGTTTCTCCTACTCCCTCTTGCAGTAATTTCAAAGTTTCAGGTTTGACACTGAGGTCTTTGATCCACTTTGATTTTTTTTTTTTTTTTTGCCAATCCTGGGGTTTGAACTCAGGACCTGGGGACTGTGTCTGAGCCTCTCTGTGCGCAAGGCCAAGACTCTACCACTTGAGCCACAGCACCACTTCTGGCTTTGTTTATGTGATATTGAGGAATTGAACCTAGGGCTTCATGCATGCTAGGCAAGCACCCTACTACTAAGCCACATTCCCAGCCCTTGACCCACTTTGAGTTGATATTAATGCATGGTGAAAAACTGGGATCTACTTTTAGTTTTATGTATATGGATGCCAAGTTTTCTCAACACCAATTATTGAGGAGGCTTTTTCCCGCTGTATATCTTTGGTTCCTTTATCAAATATCAGATAACTGTATGTGTATGGTTTTATTTCTGGGGTTATTGTACTTTGGAGTTCTAAAACTAACTTCTAGCTAGGCACCTGTGGCTCACACCTGTAATCCTAGCTACTCAGGAGGCTGAGATCTGAGGATTGTGGTTTGAAGCCAGCTAGGACAAGAAAGATTCTCATCTCCAATTAACCACTGAAAAGGTGGAAGTGGAGCTGTGGCTCAAATGGTAGAGTGCTAGCCTTGAAAAGCTCAGGAACAGGCCCTGAATTCAAGTCCCAGTACCAGCATGCATGCGCGCGCGCATGTATGTGTGTGTGTGTGTGTGTGTGTGTGTGTGTGTGTGTGTGTGCACATGCACACCCCCCACAACTTCTCTTTTCCAGAATTCTATATTTCCCAGAGACCTTTTTATTACCTGCCTTCCCACATAGCCTGTTTCCATCAAATGGATGTGCTTGAAGATTGCTGAGCCTGTAGGTCTAACCAGCCTCCCTGGGTGAGATGAGTTCTGGATCGATCTGAGTTTCTGTGTGTCAGAGGATAAAGCCACATTCAACCTAATGGTACATTCACCCAGTGGAGACCTCTTTTGAAGCTGGCTGGCCCTCTTCATTGCAGAGCTGGATTCTAGCAACTTTTTTTTTCTTTTTTGTCAGTTGTGGGGCTTGAACTCAGGGTCTGGGCACTCTCCCTGCACTCCTTTTGCTCAAGGTTAGTGCTCTACCACTTTGACCCACAGCTCCACTTCCAGTAAATTATTTTTTGGAGTGGTTGACTGGAGTTAAGAGTCTCACAAGGACTTTTCTGCCCAGGCTGGCTTTGAACTGTGATCCTCAGACCTCAGCCTCCTGAGTAGCTAGGATTACAGGCATGAGCCACGGGAGCCCAACTTCTAGCAACTTTTTTTTTGGGGGGGGGGGTTGGGTTGTGGGGCCTGAACTCTGGGCCTGGGCGCTGTCCCTCAGCTCTTCAGCTCAAGGCTAGCACTCTACTACTTGAACCACAGCGCCACTTCCGGCTTTTTTCTTTTTGCTTATGTGGTGCTGAGGAATCGAACCCAGGGCCTCAGGAATGCAAGGCAAGCGCTCTACCACTGAGCTACCTTCCCAGCCCCTCTAGCAACTTCTTTACTCATATTCTCCCATATTGTGTATTCTGAGTTGAGTATTTCTCTTTGTTTGCTACTAAAATTTGACCAGCTCTACTCCATATTGTAATAACAAAGTTTCTACTTAGCAATCTTCTGTATGTCCACAATGCCAGAGAGGTGACCACTGTCCCTTTTGGAGATAAGAAACTAAGTAAAGCAGGCTCACACCTGTAATCCTAGCTACTCAGGAGGCTGAGATCTGAGGATTGTGGTTCGAAGCCAGCCCAGGCAGAAAAGTCCCCATGAGACTCTAATCTCCAATTAGCCACTCAAAAACTGGAAGCAGAGCTGTGGCTCAAAAGATCTCAGGGACAGCACTCAGGCCCTGACTTCAAGCCCCACAACCAGAAGAAAAAAAAAGACACCAAGCATGGCTACAAACAGAGAGCTGGAATACACTAGTTGAAGGAAAGAGTCTCATAGACTTTTCTTCCCAGGCTGGCTCTGAAACTAAGATCCTCAGATTTCTGCCTCCCGAGGATTATAGGCTGGAGCCACCAGTGCCTTTTTTTTTTTTTTTAATAATATTTTTTAAACTCATTCTAAGTCAGGCATTTCCTTGGGAACCAAATTAAAAGATTTTATATTTAGCTAGTGCAATAAGATTCAGAGCAGTGAAAGCACTGTACTATGCATTGTTTTCTGAGTTTTAACTGAAGGAGATTGCTAACTTTAGACTGTCAACGAACTGATGTCTGGGTTGGAAGTTCTGTAATTAGGTTACAAAAATATCATCATAGAGCAGTTGGCTCCCGGGAGGTTAGTTTTAAAATATCCATTAGAAAATACCTCAGTAGACAATTAACATTTGGCAGTAATGTGTCTCATGAGCAAAATGAAGCTAGCTGATGCCATATTTTTTATAATCTCAACAATGCTTATATTCTTTACAATCTCTGGCTAGCCATTTCATCTCACTCCAGGTTTGGTAGAAGGCACTGGGCTGAGACTTGGGTGTGACCCTGGGTAAGGCATTAAACCCGACACTCTGTATGGTAAAATGGTGTTGGCATCTACCTCACCACTATCAGAGATAATACTGAGGTTGTAAATGGGCTATTATTTAAGTCTACTGCATGGTATACTATACTATATAGTAAAAACATCATATAAATAATTAACAAGCCATTTTCCATCGACCCAGAATAGCCTTATTAACAGATGTCAGTTAGTTTTAGACCCAGGGCTGTCACAAAGGCTGGTCTCTGAGCAATCATTTAACATCCAGTTTATGCCATCTAACATTGTGGGCTGTGTCTGCAGTGGGTGGGCTCCGAGTCTGCCCTTTTGCAGCTGTCTTTTCACAAATATTCTCAGAGGTGGTGCCATCACCCTCAGCATGCCAGGCTTTTTTTTTTTTTTGGTCACTCCTGGAGTTTTAACTCAGGGCCTGAGAGCTTTCTTGCTCAAGGCTAGAACGTTATCACTTTGGGCCTTAGCTTTTTCTAGTAGTTAATTGGAGATAAGAGTCTCAGGTCCTTTCCTGCTTGGGCTGGCTTAGAACTGAAATCCTCAGATCTCAGTCTCCTGAATAGCTAGGATTCTAGGCCTGAGCCAGGCATACCAGGCTTTTGGAAATGAGCTAAGTCTCCCCCAAAGCATTAGGCTCACTTCCTCGCTTAGCTCATGGTTCTCTCTGAAAGATGTCTTTCTCCTGTCTGCTAGGCCAGTTCTTCAGCACCCTCCAAAGCTTGATTCAATGCCCCTTCCATCTGCTGCTTCCTTGCCATGGCCCAGCGGCAGCTGACATTGCCTAGTCATTGAGCTACATTGCTGCTCCACTGTTATAATTTGCACCTGAATGCCTCCTCATGGCACACTTGGTAAAGGCTTGTTCCTCAGTGTGGTGCAAATTATTATGGGATGGGGACTAATGGGAGGCTTTATGTCACTCAAATTGGATTGTGGAACACCAGTCCCTTCCTATCTCTTTGTTTTCTGGCTACCAGAGGGGGCCCAAGAAAACCACTGAAGATTTTTCATGAGATACACAGGCACACAAACCATCTAAATAAACGTCCTCTTTATTTTACCAAATATAATTTATCAGTTAAGTTGACATCTGTCAATTCAGTTATAGTAACTATAAATAATTCTCTTATGACACAGTTCTGTAACTTTTGAAGGATACAAGAGTAAACCAATATTCCTTGCAGCCAGGCCAAAAGTATATGTGGTTGGTGCAATTAGGGGGAAAGAAATTACTCTTCCATTGAAGTCAACTTCCTTTTCCTTCCCCCTCAACCCACAGTCCTCCTCTGCTTCCACTGAGCCTGGGGCACACCGACCTTCCTGCTTGCTAGGCAAAGGAGGAGGGAGGGACATTCCAGAGTCTCCAGGACAGCCTGGCCAAACTCCAGACACAGGATGGAGTGAGTGGTGGGACAGGGCAGAGCCTCAGAATTTAGTGCCTGTATAAAAGTCTGTGTGCAAGTGTTTGGAGGAGGGGAGGAAAGATGAAAGGAGGTCAGAGGGAGGAGCAGAAACAAGCCCAGGCTGGTGTTAATGAATTCTGCTGGACAGAACTCTGACTAGAAAACCTCTACAATTCTTTCCAAGTCTAGGGTTCTATGATTCCAGAGGTGCCCTGGGAGGAAATGAGGGAGAAAAGAGTTTCTAAAGGCCCAGGGTAAGCTCCTGGGGTAAGGCATGGTGCTGGTAAAAATAGGGCCATTGCTTAGGTATTTCTTGATCGAGAGAAGGGAGGATTTATGGGGAGGCTGTTGACACACAGGTTAGTAAAATCTGCATATCAGTGCCCACATTTGCATGTTGAGTACGGATAGCTTTCTGAATTAATGCATGGGGAAGTGGCAGAGGCTTGGCTCTTCCCCCATTCTGCTAGGCAGAGATGGAGAAGCATCTGGTTGAGATCCAGCTTATTGTTCTAAATCCTCTTTTTATATAGTGAGGAGAAGTGGAGGGAAGAGAAGGTGAGGAAGGGTAGTTTAGAGACTCAAGCATTGGTTGAACAATGGGGCTGCTGGAGCTAGCAAAACTGGAATCTGGAGGGAGAACAAAGCAAAAGCTGTCTTGGTGAAAGTTGACACAAATACCTACAATGCGGGGGAATGTTCTCTGCCAGACTGGAAAGGGCAAGTGGCCTCTGTAACCTGGGGAATGAGGAGAGGTTAAAGTTGTAATTCCTTAACCACTGGCTAGTCAGTGCCAGCACACAGCAGGTACTCAATAAATACTGGTTAGTGAATTGATTTCAGACCATGCCTGCAGAAGAGCTCATCTTGGGGAGGCTGTGTATTTGCTGAATGAATGAATGAATGATGAGTGTCTGAAGGGGAGCAGGAGTCAAGAGAGAGGACAACTGACCTCCAGGACACAACACAATGAGGGCTTTTAGGAAGAGACAGAGGCCAAGGTAATCACAAGATAAAGTCTTCAGGAGAAACAGCAGCAATAAAACAGCCCTGATTGCCTGACTTCCAAGTTAATACTCCTCTTGCCTTCGCTCTGTCCCTAATCTTGAAACCCTTCCTGAAGGCAAGCTCTGGGGAAGGGAGTACTTAGACAATTAAGAGAGGAGGGTTGAACAGAGACAGACTCGTTCCTGTGGGCCCAGGGAGGATGTGGAGCTTGGGAAACCTGTGGGAGCTCAGGCCACTGCTTGCTTCCTTCTGGATGTGTTGACAGTCAACAAGTGATAGTGATCAGGCAGTCAGGCAAGAGGCATGCCAGTCCACCCAACTCCTTTCTGAGGGCCAGAGGGTTGAGGTTCAGAAGGCAGAACACAAGGTAGGATTATAGGGGCCCTGAAACAGCTGCTTCCTGCCCAGTGCTCTGAAGTTGGTCCATTTCTACAAAAGTAGGTGCTCATGTACAGGAGTGTTTCTATCCCTCTGTTCAACCAAAAAGGAAAAAAAAAATAATAAAAAATAACAGAACCCCCAAACCAAGGCTCACTCCCAAAGGATTTCTCATTAGGGCCAAGACTGAAGTTACTAAAGCTAAACCTAATATTCCCCATCCCAGCCAGAACCTCCTGTCCCAGTCTACCCCGCCTGGAGGCACCCACTATGGAATTGCACTTGGTGATTGTCTCAAGTCTACTTGTACTGCTCATCTCAGCCCATCTGTTCTTCCTGAATTCTTGCTATCCAAACTTGGCTCAATGCATAAAAATTCCCATTGAAAATAATGAGAATTTGGTATCAAAGTGGAGATGTCCAGAAAGTGTGGAGAAGGGGGGGAGGGGGGAGGGATAAAGGAACAAAAGACAAAATTCCAAAGAGAAAGTGCAGAGGGATGGGGAAAGGGTTGACTGGCCATGCTAGTCCCCAACATCCGTGTCTCGATCCCCAATGAGCCAGAGGACATGGAAGCTGAGTGCCAGGAGCCCAGTGCCCAGCAGATCCCCTAGGGCAGTCAAGTACGGGATGGAGAAGTTGTCTGGGTCCAGGCCCCGGCCCCACATCCAATGCACCATCCAGTCTGCGATGTACAGGAGGATCAGAACCTGGAGAGACAGAAGGGCCGCCTATAGCCATCCCCTCTCTCCAGGGGGAGCCAGAGGCCACAGGATTGTACCCTTTCAGTGTCTTGCAAGGCTTGTGCTGGGACAGCTCACCTTCCCACCAGGCTAACCTTTTGTACGTTCATCTTTCTATCCCACAAATAACAACAGGACAAAGTGAAAGCTCAGGAGAAAGGAAGTTGCTGCTGGCTCACTCCAGCACTACATTCTCCTCTCTCAAATTTACTAAACCGGAGGTTTCCTAATCTAAATCCTACCCATGCAGGAATTCAGCCTTCTTGCCTCTCATTCTGGGTCAGCCTATTCTAGTTCACGAATTCCTGCCATGGTGGCCTCTCCAGGAGCCTAGCAGGAGGCTGGCAGTTGGAGTCAGCTTCTCCTACAGAGATTTCTTCTCTGGGCAGAAAGATAAAAGGTTAGTGTTTGAGGCCGCTGCCAACATGGTTGTCTGAGTAACACTTGCTTATCCCAAGCTGCTTTCTCCTGACCCTTCCCATTCTGATGTTGTGGGCTCAAAGAATGCAAGTTTAACACTAATCCTAGCCAAACAGAATCTCGAATAAGTGGGCTAAATATAAAGTAGATTCCAATGAATATCAATTCCAAATAGATTCTGGATTCTCGTTTGCTTTGGTTCTCTGTGCTCCTTTGCTTACTCTCTATTACGACAGAAAATGGGGAATGATCAAGATCCGAGTCTTGCTAGTGGGGCCCAGAATGAGCAGCATCAACCACAGCTAGGAGATGTCTGTCAGGAACACAGTATCTTGGGCCTCAAAACAGATCTCCTGAATCAGGATCTGTGTTTTAACAAGATTCACGTGCACTTTGAAACTGGCGATACACTTGATCTAGGGCACAAGGTCTGGGCAGGCTTGCAACAATGCCTGACATTGGGCTTTCTAAATAACTGCATCTGTGTGAGAATGAAGTGGATTCTCATGGTGAAACTCCAACAGTCAGCTGAGAGGTTTCTCTCTTGAATGTACTTTGCAAATACTGTGGTATGAAAATTCTGCCCTGAGAGACCCACGTGCAAGGAGCCCGAAGGCAGACTTGGTAACTATTTTTAGACAAACCCAGTTGCTCCCCTGTCCTCTCTCTAAGGGAGCCAGGTGGTTGCAGTTCTACCACCCTTCACATTTCCTTTGTTCTGCACACAGCTGCCCTGTATGTCTGTGGCCCCAGCCCTGAGGGAGGTGCAGTATATCATAACTTCACACCCTTCCTAGCAGCTGTAGGAGCCCCAAATAAAGAGCATGGCCAGGGGGCATTTGGGCATGCCCCTGGATGGCAGCAGCTGTTCTCATATCTAGCCTCCTGAGCAGCCCTGGGACTCACGCTGGAAGTGGTAAAGGGATTTGAAAGAACTTTATAGGGATCAGGTGTCACACTTTGCTCCTCCACAGATCTAGAGAAGAAAGTATGCTGGAGAGTATTCCCCTAGGGGATGCATAAAGGGCAATGGAGCCAAGACTCATCATCTAACTAGGCCTACAGCTGAACTGAAAGCTTCCACAAGCTCCCCTTTCCCAAGGGTAGGCACCTGCTCCCCTATGCAAGGGAGCGTGGCAATTTGGGGAGCTGTTGCTGGGATACAACATATGGTTGATTCTCAGGCCGGCTCTTGCAAAGATTCCTAACACATGACTTTTCTGACATTGGAGGGATAAGTGTTTATCAACAGGTGAGTGGCTGAATGAAATGCAATAATACATGGGAGGAAGTATCCTGAAATTACAGAACTGGGAGGCTGGATGAACTCCTACGAATAGGATTATCTAGGACAGTGGTTTTGCTGCTTTAAGCTGTGGGACCCTTTATTTAAATGAAGCCCAGCATGCAAGTGGAGCTTTGTGGCCCATCAGTGGGGTGGGGGATGGAGGTTGAGCACCTACCTCAAAACCATAACCTCTGGTCTGTATTCTGCTTAATTTGCAAATGGATAGCTGAGGCTCAGAGAAGTGAAACAACTAAAGTCAAATAACACGTTAGAGCCTTTCCTGGAGCCACAGTCTATTCTGAGCCCTGTTAGTGTTTATTTGTTGCCCGGGTGTGGGCAGGGTGTCTGGGCCTCCTCTCCAGGGCGTGCAGGTGGTCTCAGAGTCTCCCTGTGGCCATGCTCTGGCCGGGTCGTTCGTACCTGGAGCAGTGCAGCTGTCATGTAGAAGATGATAAAGATGAGTGTGAGGGTGGTGTGCCCACCCTGCATACAGCTGATGGTGTAGAGGAACACCAGGTGTCCTGGGACCACAAGGAGGAAGAGGACCCGAGCCGAACGGGAATTCACATCTGGGATCAGAGGAGAGAGGGTGTGAGGAAGACAGGGAGAGGAATCTTGGTCCTAGAAAGTCAGTCAGGAGGGCCCACATTACAGTCTAGGACAGCAGACAGACAGCTGCCCATCTCTGCCCACCATGGGGTCCTCAGCTTTGCGGCCGTCCTTTCCTGCCCAGGCTGTGCTCTTCAGAATTGCTGGCACAGCCCAACAGAGAAAACTTGGGATCTGCAACCCAGCTGTTATTTAAATAAAGCTCACAACTGTAGATCCTCTTCTTCAGGGCAGAAATGGACCCCAAGGCTGAGCCTCTGCCATTACCTGGACTGAAGAAGGTGGTGCATGGGCTGGGGCAGCGGCGAGGAACTTGCTCAGAGTTCTCCCCTGGCATCCCATTCATGTGGAGGAAGGTGGAGATGCGGCTGGCCTGCACAGCCACCAGATTGCCCCCAACACCTGAGGAGACAGAGGACTCGGACTGGGGGGCTTGCTGGTTAGTCTGTTTGCCTTCACACTTCAATCTAGACCCTGCACTCCAGTTGTGCCCTGAACTGTAGGAGGCTTTTTTTTTTTTTTGTCATGGGGCTTGAACTCAGGGCCTGGGCACTGTCCCTGAGCTCTTTGCTCAAGGCTAGTGCTCTACTACTTTAAGCCACAGATCCACGTTTTCTGGTGCTTAGTTGGAGATAAGAGTCTCATGGATTTTCCTGCCCAGGCTGACTTCAGACCTCAGCCTCCTGAGTAGCTAGGATTATAGGAATGAGCCATGAGCACCTGGTTTAGGAAGCTGACTTTCTTTGTTTGTTTTTTTGGATCCGGTCGTGGGGCCTGAACTCTGGGCCTAGGCACTGTCCCTCAGCTCTTCAGCTCAAGGCTAGCGCTCTACCACTTGAGCCACAGTGCCACTTCCGGCTTTTTTCTTTTTCTTATGTGGTGCTGGGGAATCAAACCCAGGGCCTCAGGCATGCAAGGCAAGCGCTCTACCACTGAGCCACCTTCCCAGCCCAGGAAGCTGACTTTTAAAGCCTTGTACATCCCCTAGCCACCTTGCTGGCTGCTTTCGCTCAGGTTTGGGCAGGTAAGCAGTAGGTAAGAGAAGGTCTTTCTGGACTCTCCCCTCCCCCTTCTCTCTCTGTATACCAGGGCTTGAACTCAGGGCCCTTCTCTCTCATTTGCATTTCTGGCCAATAGTGGTGCTCTACCACTTGAGCCACACCTCTACTTCTATTTGCTGATTTCAAGTCAGATCTCAGCCTCCTGTTTAGCTAGGATTATAGGCATGAGCCACAAGTGCTCAGCTTTCCTCCCTGTTCTTTTGGGAGGGGTTAGAGATCTCTCACTGGGTTCTGATTTCTAGGTCCCCTTGGCACTTCAGGACTAGAAGCTTTGTGGCTGCTAATCTCTGAGTGCCTCAACATCTGTTAGTTCTTTTACTCAGTTCCCACCTCCAGGGCAGTTCTTTTATTAGTCTTGAACTCTCTTGTCTGATGGAATGCTGACCGATACAGACAATCCTGTAAGTCCTCTTCCTCTGCCCATCTCCCCTCTGCCCCCCCCCCCAGCAGCTGATGCCAAGACCTCACCATTAATCACAGGTGTGAAGACAGCCATCCCTGCAAAGTTAGGGTCTGAGACAGTCTTGTCCAAGATGAGGCCTCCCACGCTACAAAGACCAAAATAACACAAAGACCACTGAAGGGCTCTGCTCTGAAGTTAAGAAGCACAGTCCTGGCTAGCCTTGGGGACACAGGGCAGCATGACAGAATTGGCTGCTGCTTATAACCTCCTGACTTGGCACAGTGCCCCAAGAAAGAGCTGGTGGTGCTGGGCTGGACAGCCACCATCGTACCTTCCCTCTAAGTCGGCTAGAAGAGCTGCTGCAGGATTTCTTGTCGTTCTGCCTACTGGGTACTTATCTTCCTTTCTGGCAAAAGCACTAACCAGAAGCACCTCTCTCAAGCTTAGTCACTGTGGACCAGGTGACATTGCTTCAATAATGCCTAGGATCCAGGCCATTCAATCAGGGTATTGCAGTCCCAAGGCCATAGTGACTGGTTCCAGAATAAACATGTTGCCAGGCGCTGATTTCAAATTCATTACAGCCAGGTGCCTGTACTCCTAGCTACTCAGGAGGTTGAGATGTGAGGATCACAGTTCCAAGCCAGCCCAAGCAAGGAAAGTCTGTGAGATTCTTATCTCCAATTAACCACCAGAAAACTGGAAGTGGTGCTGCAGCTCAAGTGGTAGAGCACTGGCCTTGAGCTGAAGAGCGCAGGGACAGCGCCCAGGCCCAGAGTTCAAGCCCCATGACTGACAAAAAAAAGAAAAGAAAAAAAGAATAAACATGTGACCATATAAGAACCAAAGAAATTCTTTTTTTTTTTTTTTTTTCTTTCGTCAGTCGTGGGGCTTGAACTCTGGGCCTGGGCACTGTCCCTCAGCTCTTCAGCTCAAGGCTAGCACTCTACCACTTGAGCCACAGCACTACTTCCAAGAAATTCTATTCTAGGATTCTGTGGAACTATTGGGGGAAAGAATCTGTTTTCTCATTGGAACTGATAGGGGACAAAAAAATGTGAGGCAGACCAGATGTGAGAGTGCACATCTGTAACCCTTACATTAGGAGGTGGAGGCAAGAGGATCACAAGTTGAGGCCATTTGGGGCCAATTAGGGAGACCTGGACTAGAAAAAAAGTGTAAATCTTGGCTGTAGGTCATAACAGAGAAAAGCAGAGGTGACGTGAGAGAAGGTGAGTCCTGGGTCACTAATAATATCGTATGTGCCCTTGGATCCACCTGTGCTTTTTCCTTTTGGTAGGTCAGGGGGCTTGAATCTGGGGCCTGGGCGCTGTTCCTGAGCTCTTTTGCTCAAGGCTACCATTCTACCACTTTGAGCCACAGCGCCACTTCCGGTTTTCTGGTAGTTAATTGGAGATAAGAGTCTCATGGACTTTCCTGCCCAGGCTGGCTTTGAACCATGATGCTCAGATCTCAGTCTCCTGAGTTGCTAGGATTACAGGTGTGAGCCACCAGTGCCAGGCTCTACTTGTACTTTTTTAGTTCCCAAAGCAAATATACCTTGTTTTGGAAAGAATCTCAATTCAGATGGTTCCTATCACTAGTAATAGGAAGACATATGACTGGTATACTCTTAAATGCATTTCTAGGGGTCTGCCTCCTACCTCTTCTCTCCAAGGTTGAAAATGAAATTGTTGGCAGATGGAACGGTATAGGGGTCCTCTCTTACCTGCTGATGGCCATGGCAATGATGACAGGCTCCCAGCCTGAGTATAACACCTCCCTTGTGGCTGGGCTCCGGCGGGCCAACACCACCCAGACAGGCAGCAGGGCCACGAAGAAGGCACACACTAGAGGATAGATGTATCGCCAGTGCTCTGGGAAGGCAGAGATGAGAGCGAGATGAGCTCTGTGGTTCTTGCTTCCAGCTCCCCTTGACTCTGCCTGAAAATGTCCCTAGAGATCAACAGTGATACTACACTAAATAGCTGTAACATTTTATCTTTACTGTAAGTCCAGGTAGTAGGTAGGGCTTGCCTTCCATTGGGAAACCAAGGTAGAGAGCTATCCCAGAGCCAAACTCATTAGAGGCAGAGAGTAGCTTCTAGGTCTTCTGATCTGATCCCAGAAACTACTACTACTCACTTCTTTGGTTCACACGTAGATTCCAGCTTTTGCTTTCTTTTTGTCTTACCCCTCCAAGAGAAGCAAGATCCATAGGACCAGGCAGGCACAGATTTCTGATATTTCTCCCTGCAGCACTAGCTGTTGTGATCAGTACTTTTCTAAGATTAGGAGTTATTATAAACTGTTCACACCAAATGGCTAAGAACATAAAAGAAACCCTTGCACGTTTGCAAATGACCCCCATCTCTCCCAGCCCACCCCAAAGTCCAGCTGAGCCATTCTCAGTGGCCTGAGCCTCACTCAGTTCCAGGTAGAGTCCCCAGCTGATGCCTGAGAGCAGTGCCAAGGTGATGAGGTCGCCCAGGCTGGCAGCAATGGGTGTGGCCACATTGTCTGGGTTGATCCCAATCTTTCGAGAGCCGATGATGACTCCAATCATGATCATACCTGGTGAGGAAGGAGAAGCCGGGCAGGCAGAGGGAGACGAGATAAAGGGATATCAACAAAGAGAGTTGAGGTACCAGGGTGCAGTTAACACCTTGTGGGCCTCCTCTTTACTCCCGTGCCCCCTCTCCTTCCTTACCCAGCACCAGGGAGGCAATGAAGGCTGTGGCCACACTGCTGGCACACAGCAGGAAGGCATGCGGGATACTAAAGTGGCCATCAGGGATCCAGCCAAAGACGACAGCTGCGATGGATGCCAGGAAGCCCACCACCGTGGCCTGCACCTGAGAAGAGGTGTGGTGACAGGGCAAGCCTGGAACACCGGGCTCCCTAGCTGGGTTCCCTGAGCACTCAGGGGACTTCCTGCTGGCCTCAGCAGCCCGCCCCAGGCATAGGCTGGACTGGATTGCCCAGTCTCCCCACTGGAAGGATGTCTTTATTTATTTAGCTTCACACCAGACATTAGTACTGGTCAGTGCACACAGCAGGAGACCAGGATGTGTTACTGGGTGTTCCTTGGGAGATGGACTAAAGATCAACAAACCAGAGGCTTCAGTCCAGTCAACATTTGGGACTCAAAGGGGAAAGAGTCCCAGGCTGTGTGGCCTCCTGAGGAGATGGGACGAGAATGGCAGAGGGCGTGTCAGCACTCCTGAGCCTGCTCTTATTGCCAAGATCTGCAAGGACTCAAGAGGCTTCTGCACTACCTGCAGCCTAGACATGGGACGTGGGAGATGGTAGGGCTCTTCCCACACAGGCCATTTTCCTGGGTAACTGGTTACCTCCTAGAGCTACTTTGCAGATGCTAGAGATCCCACTCAGGAATCAGCTGATCTTAGCTCTACAGACTTTCCTGACTAAAGGAAAAGCTTAAGAGGTGGGAATGATTATTCCTCCCTGTATTTCCCTTAAAGTACAAGCTGCTCCTGACCCTATTCTCCTACCTGGATGAGGGCCATATTGCCAGTGATCATCCGCCAGAGCTCCTTGGGTGTGTCCATTTGTCCAATGTTGGCCTGGGAGAGGAAATGGGGAAACATGGAGTTGTAGGCTGGAGAAGGCCTGGGCTCCATCTATCATCCCTGCCTGGTTGAAAGCACAGTGTACATGGCTAAGACTCTAGGACCAGGACATGAAAGTGTTTGGGGGTGAAAGGAGAGAGTTAACAAGCCAGAGCTTCTGCAGCTTAGAGGGGTGGGAAGTGGGCTCTCAAGGCAAGTGTGTTACTCTGTTTTGCAGGCAAAGCTGAGCCAGATTGCATCCTCTGCCTCCTTTGCTTATTTGGGCAGCCTACTCCTGCTTGGGTCAGCAAGACTCAGCTCCGGCTCTGCAGCAGCTTGCTCTCCTAGGGATGGACAGATTGGCAGCTAGCATAGGGCTGAGGCTGCAAGTGCATGGGGAGGAGTGGGTGGCATGGGGGAGTAGGAAAGAATATGTTGGAGTGGGTGAGGATGGCTGCCTTTCTCTTGACTCCTGGCCATGCAGGGATATCCATGGCCTCCTGAGTCTCTTGCTCTCACGCCATGTGTCTTGTCTTCTACAGTGTTAAGGAAGGTGGGACTAATAAGCAGCTCCTCCCTATATTTCCTTAAAGAACAAGCTGGGGTGGGGAAAGGGAATGGCTGGGAGGAGACTGGGAGCGGGCTGGAAGGGTCTGGCTCAACTCCTGCCCAGCTGCAGAGTAGGGCAGGAGATCAGAGGAGGCCCCCACCTGTGCGGATGGAGGGACCAGCATGATGCCCGCCTGTCAAAGCTGTACAAACAGTCACGAGGTAGGTTGCGAGGTAGGAGGTGGGGCAGGCATCCAGGGATGGCTGAGCTATCCAGAAACAGAATCTGGGAATCACTCTGGGTAGGAAGCCCCGTCCCAGGAGCAGGACACCCAGCCTGGGATCTCCCTATACCTGCCCAGCCAGGTCCTTCCTTCCTTCCCAGCCTACTCCCCAGGCAGTGGAGTAGCCACCTCCCAGTGTCAGTGCTGCCCAGTCCTCTCTGAGCCTCCTCCTCCCAGCCAGGACACTCACTGCAGTGGACAGCCTTGAAGCCAGGGTCATTTCCAGGTTCCCCTTAAGTCCCAGCAGTGCAGGCACCAGGATGAAGACCTCCGTCACCTTCTGGAAGACCTCCCAGTGCTACAAGGTGAAAACAGAGCCCAGGAGTTTCAGTGCCCCAAAGGGCTGGTGTTGGAGCTGAACAGTGTGGGGCGGGGAGGAAACAGGAGCAGGAGTGAGCACACCAACCACCTTTCCTTCAAGAGCCATACTAGCAGTGTAAGCTCGTGGATTCCAAATAGCACAGTTCTGTTTCCCGTTCCAGAACAAGGGAGACCCCTGGGTCAGGCTCTGAGTGCTTTAATGCAGGCAGGAGAGAGTGCTAGAAATACATAGTGAAGCCACTCCACGCTTCCTTAGGACCCAGACCCCTTTGTGATCCCACCTCCATTCACGCTCCCTGGCTCTTTTGCCTTTAGCCCGGTTTCTCTGTGGTCTCGGCCTTGGCTGATGTTGTCTCTGCTGTGGAGAGCTGGGCTCCACGGGACTGGGGAAGATTAGAGCATTTGTTTGGTTTCTATCTCCAAGGGTTTTGGGCCTCAGCCACAGCAACTCTCCTGAGTAGGCTCTGAACCCAAGATCTGAATGCTGGTCTGCAAGGGGCTTTTGATTCCTCCTGTGCACTCCCTCTCCCTGCAGACCCTCCTCAATCTCTAAGCCAGAAGCAGGTGTATCTCTGTAGGAAGAGCCCTGGCCTAGTAGTTAAGACGTGGCTTTTTGTCCTGGGACAATCAGTCCTGGCTCTCTTGCCAATTTCTTTGGCTGGCTGTGTGGTTTGCTTTATTTGTTTTAAGAATGGAAAGCTTCTAGGTTTGGAGATGGAGGATGGGCAGGTGTACACAGGTTGGTCTGGGTATGGTGGTTGGGAGACAGAAAGTTGTACTGAGTAAGAGCCCTAGACTGAGAGCCTTGATCTACTACAAGAGATGCAGAGAGGACCTCATGCTATTTCCCCAATGGGCCCCCTCACACTGCCAGCTGGGGACCTCAATAAGGTGTAAGGACCTCAAGCTTCTTTCTACAATGTTCCATTCAGGGGCCAGATCAGATAGGCTCTAAAGACAATTCCAACACTGCTACTTTGCTCTAAAAGATGAGCAAGGTTGCCAAGGAAAACCAATCTCATAATACCTCATACTCATGAGGATGACCAGTATAAAACAAGCTGGGTATCAGTGGCTCATGCCTGTAATCCTAGCTACTCACTCAGGAAGCTGAGATTTGAGAATCTTGGCTTGAAGCCAGCCCTAGCAGGATAAAGTTCTAGAGACTCTTATTTCCAATTAACTACAAAAAATGGGAAGTGGAGTTGTGGCTCAAGTGATAGAGCAGTAGCCTTGAGTAAAAGAGCTGAGGGACAGCGCCCAGGCCTTGAGTTCAAGCCTTAGAACTGGCACAAAAATAAACAATAACAACAAAAAATAAGCAAGCAAGCAAAAAGAAAATAACAAGTTTTGGCACAGCTGTGGAGATTGGAACTCTTGTACAATGTTTGTGGGGTTGTAAAACGTAACCACTGTGAAAAACAGTAAGGCAGTGTCTCAATAAATTAAACTTCCCTATCATCTAGCAATCCTACCTCTGGATACTTTCATTCTTAACAATGGTGGTTAAACCTATAATCCTAGCTACTCAGGAGTCTAAAGCTTAGAGGATCACAGTTTGTAGCCAGCCTGGGCAAAAAAGTCCAAGAGACTCTAGTTAACCAGCAAAAAATTACACTGGAGACATGCCTTAAGTGTTAGAGCACCAGCCAAAAGCATACAAACTGAGTAAGAGGCAATAGATTTCAAGCTCCAGTATATATATATATATATATATATATATATATATATATACACACACAATGCTTAAAATCACAAATCTTACCTTATGCATCTTTTAACATAACAAGAAACACCAACAATAGAGTTGTGCAAGGCTATCAGAGTGGACACTGGCTGGTTCCCATAAGGAAAGGACCTCTCATTTTCTCATCAGAGTTCTTTGTAGGATCTGGGGATGCTGGGGGAGGGCTCATGTCATCAGGGCTGGAGCATGCCCTTGTCTGCGCTCCTTGACCTACAATTCATCTTGTGGTCTCCTGAAGCCCCTACGATTCTCCTTAAGGAAGCCTCTCTCTGAAAAGTCTGATGGGAGGAGGCACTTCCACCTCAAGAGCAGTGCCTGAGCTTTCAAGCAGCCAGAAAAAGAGCTCTAATCCTTGGTGTGTGTGTGTTTGTGTGCACACATATGTGTGCCTATCCTGTCTCACCTTCGAAGCAGCCCCAGTGAGCTCCCTCAGCACTGGGGAGCTCAAGGAGTATTATTCCTGGGCGAGGCTGGTGTATACCCCGGGGATCCAACTTCCTAGAGCCTCTTCCTTACTCCCAAACTAGATAAGCAGCGCCAAAGAGAAGTCCCTCCTTTCTTCCCTCTGCTGACAAGGGTGCTGACTGTGAGCTTTGGAAGCTCCTCGCAGAGCAGAGTCTTGCATCTCACCGGAGTCCCAAATACTACACCTGCTTCCATGTTCCTTGAACACTCCTTCCCCAGGTGGGTGAATGCAGTGGATACATGCATGTATGGGGGCAAAGTGAAGGACCCAAAAGGAGATACTCTCAGGGCATGCAAGAAATAGTTTCTAAATTGTTTAAGGAATACTGCTTGTCTTAATTAAAACACAAATTGTATAAAAGGTTAAAGCTGCTACTATAACAACTCCCAAATCTCCCTCCTCCTCTCCCCCTTCCCCACCCCCAGCCAGCCCTCTCCTTTTAACTACAAGAGTATCTGGAAGGTATGGGGTTTAGTAACTTCACGAAACAGGCAAGGACACTGAGCCATGACACTAACAGCCCCATGCAGAAGTCTTCCCAACACTCACAAAATACAGCCTACAGCTCACATTATCTGACCTCAGACCCAGCAAGGCCCAAGCCAGCACTTGGGCCAGAATAGCTAATTCCTCCATACACATTCTTTTCTACCCACCAAACTCTCTCAAAGATGCAGCTCAGGCAGGCACATACAGGACTCTGGGAAGAAGAGCTGGAAGGCTGGTGACGTGGAACCAGCCCAGGACGCAGGGAGGTCCTGAGGTTAGGAGAAAGTAGGATGTGGCAAGGACAGTGTGTAGCTATTCTTTCTACTCTGGCCTACACAAGGCCCACCCTGTTCATCCTGGCTGGGAGTTTTTGCCTCTGAAGTCAAACCAGTCAGCTAAGCTACCAGCCAAGCTACCACCCACACCTTCCTGCCTTGCTGTGCTGGGAAAGGGTCCAGGAAGGCCTGCCCTGAAGGGCAGAGGACCTATAGATTTAGTTTCTCAGGCATGTAGTCCCCTTGTTCTATCTTTCTCTTTCCTTGGGGGTGAGAGCTCATTAGTCCCTGACAATTTTGAAGTAAGGGATGAGATTGATCCCCCTAGACTCAAAACCAATCCGGATTCAGAGCAATTGCCTTAGGTCTCACATGTTGGAGGCCCTGTTGGTGCCTCTTCCTTGTCCACCCTACCTGCCTCTTCCAGCCTTCACCTCCTCTGCTTCATATACCCATGTCCACCTGCCTTCCAAGCATTCTGCTCCAGTAGGACAGTGGAAGGGCAGAAAGCCAGGGCCCAGGAGGAAAGATGGAATCAAGATATTCAGATGACTGAATCACCAAATACAGCTCTAGGTAGCAGACTGCACAGGATCTAGGAAGCTGGGCTGCAGGGGACCTTTTAGAGGAGGTCTGGGTCTGGTCAGATCACAGGAACTCCAGTCTCCATCTAACTGTGGCTTCAGTTCTTTGTACAGGGCTGAAGGCAGAGACAGGAAGAGCAGAAGAAGGGTGATCAAGGGAGACGGGATCCGAGCGTCCTGCCAGGAGTGCTGGCAGCTACAGGAGCAGGCCAGCTGCAGGAGGACTGCTTCCCGCCCACTCTGCCACCGGAGGCCACGCTGCCACCCACTTCCTTCTTTGTAGACTCTTCTCAATACACAGAGGTGGAAGAATCTATCCTAGAGAAAGTCTACTACCATTGTATCCTTGGCCAGAACACAGTGGGTTAAAATAAGGACTTGCAGTCTTCCTGTCCTAATCTAGCTGGGAGTTCTGAAAGGTAGCATGCCATCTCCTGCCACCCCTATCCCTCACAAAAACTAGGAAGAAAAAGGGAACAGCACCTGTAACAGCCTGGGCTGGTGAAGACTGGGCTGCAAGGCATGGAGCTCACATCCGGTCCCTTCTGAAGCCAGCACTGGGCCCAAGCCTGCTTCCTTTCTAACTGCCACAAGAACTGCCAGACATGATGGTGGAGCAGAATGCAGTTGGGTCATTTTCTTCCACCCCGTCAAGTGCCTAGCTCCTTATTTCAATGCAGAAGCTGCCATGTATACATAGTGGAGCCAAGAGGCAGACAAGAAATGGACCTTCTAGGAAGAGATCAGGTCTTTAGCAGCAGTGGGGCCCTGAAAGGAGGCATATGAATGGAGACCCACACAGATTTCTGTTCAGCTGCTCTGAGACACTGGGACTCTCTGTATAGGCACCTCCTCCAGATGGCCCCTGGCTGTTAGGTACTTTCCGACTCTCTGTTGAAAACCAACTTAGCTTGGGAAGGGAGAATATAGATAGGAATCTTTAGAAACCATCCTGCTTGTTTTGTGTCACCCCTCAATTCCCTTGGATGTGGACTAAGAATCTCTATGGTCCTTTGCCCAAGTCCTTCTCTGCTCCTCCCCTCCCGTGATCCTGCTGCAGCCATTTGCAGGCCCTGCTCCAGCCCAGCTGTGGTGGGAAGGCTGAGGGAGGAGGACAGGGACAAATAAGCCATTGTCAACGGCACCAACTGGACCCTAGCTCTGGAGTGAGCTGAGGTGTTGCACTGAGGGCAAATGCTGGCTCTCTGTGGGCACATTGGGCAGCCCCTACCACCTAGGCCTCAAATGTCCCAGTCTCGGGAGGCGGTGGGGGGGACTTCAGAGGGCATTCCAGCTCTGGAACCCTCTTCTGTGTGGGAAGTTGGTGGGTAGATCCTTCTCTTCCCCCTCTAAGAATTTTTGTCCTCCTTCACTTCAAAAGCTAATACCAATTGTTGCCAATTCAAGTCGGCTGTGTTCTTTAGAGGAAGACAAAAACAGTGGGCTTCTATCAGAGTCTCCAAATAATGGCCTTACAAAAAGCAACAAGGTAATATCTCAGGCTTTGGATATAGATGAACAGGGACAAGTTTTCATAGTTGCCCTAGCTACAAAATGGAGATGAGTAGGGCTTCCTTTCTTATGTAGGCCTACAGAACATTCCCCCAAACACTTCCCCACTATCATTATGACTTCCCAGAAAGTAAGACAACCCTCCCTAGTTCATCACAAGACCCTGGTTCGGCATCACTGCTAACTCTCTGCTACTTTTTTCCCCTAGTGCTGGGGATCAAAACCAGGGCCTATAGAAACTAGACAAGCACTCTACCATTGGGCTGTAGTTCCAGCCCTGCACCTCTCTGTAGGTACCAATTTAGAACCAGGGCCACAGGGAAAGCATGAAGAAGTGAGGGAACAGTAACCCCAGTTTCTTTTCCTCTCCCTCTCCTTGCTCACTGCCTGAGGAGGAGGGGTAGCTACTAGGAAAAGCCAAAGCCCCGGGTTGGCTTCTTCTTCTTCTTTATTTTTTTTGTGCCAGTCCAGGGGCCTGGGTGCTGTACTGGAGCATTTCTTCCCACTCAAGTCTAGCCCTCCATCACTTTAGCCACTGTTTCACTTCTGGCTCTTTTGATGCTTAGTTGGAGAAAAGAGTCTCACAGACTTTCCTGACTGGGCTGGCTTCAAATCATGAACCTCAGATCTCAGCCTCCTGAGTGGCTAGGATTATAGGCATGAGCCACCAGTGCCCAATCCGGCTGGCTTCTTAACCTCCCTATAGAAAGCATTTCACAATAACCGGCTTGAGGGCAAGAGAGGTAGTATCTGCACTTTGACATAACCATTTTCATTAGCAAAAACCATTCTCATTAGCAACCAAAGATACGGTTCTCCTGACGAGCTCAGGGTCTATAAGGACAGTACTGAGGGTATCTAGAACAAACCATCCTCAATCTTCTAGGACATAGGCACAGGAAGCCATGCCAGCAGTCACTAAATTGTGGTTTGTAAGTGTTGGCTTGACCCAGGGGAGGTAAAGCTCAGCTCTGGGTTCCTCTAGGGACTATCATAGTCAGGGAATCCTAAGAGATCCCCAACAACACAGCCACATTTCCTCCTGCTTCTGTATTTCTCAGAGTACCTAGAATACAGCCAGCATTTGGCAATACATTGATAACACAATGATTGTGCTTCAAAACTCTTACCTAAAAACAAGACTTTATCTTTCTAGCCTAGAGGTTCTGGTAAATCCTAACTCACATTTCACTAAATATAGCATGTCCCTGGCCCTCGGCTTCCAGGACCTGCCAACTTTCATCACTCACACTACCTGGTAGTCTCATAAAGAGCCCTTTTTGCCCAGAGCAGGTTCATGACAGACAAGTCAGGAGCGAGGAGGAGAGATAGTTCTGTCCAGTTCTCATTACAATTTGTTCCCATCGAAGGGTCATAATGATTCTTTCAGGTCTTGTTAAATCAAGTCTTCTAGTCATGCATCAGACAGCCTGTGACCATCCCTATTCCCTAAAAAGACCATGCTAAAGTTGCTAGAAGATGAGCAATGCAAAATGCCTTTAAGAGCTTTCTCACTTCATCTGAGACCCTCTTTGGCAGCTGAATAAATTCCTGCCCAGCAGGGGAATGGAGGAGAGACTTGAAACTGAGCTTCTTACCCTGGGCACCCTTGAAACCTCAAGGGGAAAGAAAGAGAGCCATATCTAGGTATGGCCTACTGAGCTGGACTCAGCAGGAGTGCTCAGAGGATATGGAAAGCAACAGTCTCTCTCCTCTATCAGATCTATTCTCTGGAACCATTTATGCTACTGCTCTGCCCACCTCCCCAGGGCTACTCAGCTTCCTTGACGCTTCTATAGAAAGTAGCAAGACCGTGAAGAAACCAAAGACACGATCCAAAGGGAAATGGTATTCTAGGAAGCAGCAGCTGCTTCTGACAGAGAGGTAGAGAGGGAGGTCCAAGAATCATAGTTGCCAGGAGACAAAGGGCAGCCCTGTGGGCTTCCAGGCAGAAGACATTGGACTAGGGGCTTACCTGCACAATGTCCAACACCATGCCAGCAGCCACCGTTCCGAAGCCTGCCAGGAGGAAGGGGAAGAGCACTTGCAGCCCGATGGAGAAGGAGGTCTCCTTGAGAGGGGAGGGTGGTGCAGGGCCACGGTCGGTGCTGACGTCGTCACTTTCGTTGCTCTGGCTTCCATTCTCCAGCAGGGCGTCCTCCTCCCGAACCCCCTTGGCGTTGGCCCGAGACTCAATCACCACCACCTCCACCCCAGCCCCATCAGGCCCCAGGAATTCTGAGGTCCCAGCCAAGGGCTCTCGCCCGGGGCCATCAGAAGAGCTGGGAGAGGGAGTTGGGCCAGTCCCGTTCAGCTGGTGGACGTCCTTCGGCTCCGGCTTAGAGGACATGACGGGCAGGGAGGAGGGGAGGGGGAGAACTTTCCTTTTCTTTGCTTTCTCTCTCCCTTTCTAACTTGAGAAAGAACTTAGTCTTGGGGCAAACCCAGGCTCGGATGCCGCAGGACCTCTTCCCACGGCTCGGCTCCTACCGGGCACTGCAAAAACTGATCCGCCAACAGGCAGCCCCATCAAGCACTGCAGCCGTGGGCTGGAGGGAAACAAGCAAATCCTCACCAGACCAGTGGCCGGCCACTAGGGGTGCAGATGCCCTCCTCCGGCTGGCCAGTGCTGTGCCTGGGGGATATCTTTGGTTCTCAGTGTAGGGTCCTCGGAGTGGAGTAGAGGGCATCCAGAGGGAAAGGGCCCAACCAACCCAAGTCTTGAGTGCCCCCCGAGGTGGCCCCTCTTGTCAGAAGTGGACTGAGCTCAGATGGTCAAGAACACAACCTCCACCAAAGGCTGGGCTTTCTTCCTGCTGCTTCTGCTGGTCTCCTCCTTCAGCTTCCCACAGCACTCCAGGCTCGGCTTGTCCCAAGGCAGTGGCGTCTGTCTTTCCCCTCTTTTCCAGAGATTTCCTCCCTTCCTGGAAAGACCTTGTACCTCCCCAGTTGCCTGGTCATTAAAGTCACAAGAATCTGTATGGAGAACCTTATGTAGGAAGGGGGAGAGAGAAGAGAGAGGTAAGGGACAGAGAGAGAAAAAGAGAGAGGGAGAGGAAGGGCAAGTTACTATAAAGAACAGCTCCTACAGGGGGGATCCTTCCCCAAGGCAAATAGCAGTTTGTTATGGAGGTCACTATTTGCCCTTATCTTTCCATTAACAATTCTGCCTTGCACTTCTACACCTGGAGGCCGAGCAGGTTCTACCATCACCTTCCTCCCAACTCATCAACAACCTACTGCTCCACAGGAAGATCCTGACCAAGAGGTGTTGGCACTATCTTCTCAACGACCCAGGGTAGGCAGGAGTAGCCTCAGGGAGATCCTTTCTGGAATCCCATTAAGAATGAAGGATTTGCTAAGTGTGGTCCCTCCACAGGTTAAGTTAGAAGTTCAGTCTCAAATGCGTCACACAGCCACCCCACTACAGAAGATGACTGTTTATCACCACAAAACAGCAAGAGCAAGACAGCTGCAGGGCCAATAAATGATGAGGCTCACCACCGAGAGTAAAGGCCCCTAGACCCCTAAACGCCCTGAGAAAAAAAGAAAATAAGGGTAGCTCCCCAAGTAGTGGGGCAAGCCTGCCAGACCATGGCGAAGAGCCAGAGGCCTGCCCACTCCTGCCCTTGAGAGTGAACAGTGTTACAAAAAGGCCAGAGGCTGACTCCGGTCCAGGCTTCTGTCTGCTTCTCTCCCTCTACCCTTGGCCCTGTGAGCCTGTGGTCAGATAGGCCCAAGGCAGTTACCTCCCTTTGAAGGGACAGATGCAAAATGACTGGTTATTGTTATCCACACATTTCAGTAGCCTAGGCTCCTCAGCACCCGCACCCCCTCCCCCAGTTACGAACAGATAAAGAAGAATTCTTCAAAACAAACAGAAAAACTCAAACAACAAACAACAAACCTAAATCCTGTTTCTCAGCTGTCCTGAGGGAGCCAGAAGAAGGGAATCGCTCCCCCGCCCCTCCTGAATGTCACCCTATTTCATTTCACAGGGAGGGTGCTAACAAGTTAAAAAAAAAAATCAGTAAACTTTAAAGAGGGTTTCCACAGGTGGGGCGAACGTGCCCCTAAGTATTGAGTCAACTCCAGTTCGGGGAAAGTCTGAGTCAAACTCCAGGCACTCACCCCAGGGAATTGTGCCCTCTTCCTAGCAACTTCGTCACCAGCCAGGACCCCCTTTTCCAGCCCCCTTAACCCCCTACACGGTGGTTCTTTCAGAGATCCTTACTAGAGAGCCAGGAGGAACACTGAGTCCACCGCCAGCAAAAGTTCCTGCGTCCTCTAAAACCTGACGGTCCTGCCCCTCCTGTCTTCCTGGCCGGCCCATTAACCTGAGAGGGGAGCTCGCAGGAAGAAAGCCGGTCCCGCATCCGACACCCCAAGTAAGGGCAGAGACTTCGGATGGGCCTCAGGCTCTGGGACACCCTATCCCCTCTTCAAAGACCGGTTTGAGTCTCCCCAGCCCCGGGCGGGGTGGGGTGGGGTGGGGTGGGGGGAGAGTTAACTGGGTGGCCGCGGCGGTCTCTCCACGACCGGACTCAGCAAATGCGCTGCGCGCCAGAGCTCCCGCCCCCCCCCCCGCGCCCCCCCCCAGACCCGACAGCACTGACCTGCCCCTCGCTCGGGAGGAAGGGGGGCGCCTGGCGAGTGGCAGCAGGGGCCCGTGGTCTCGGGGGGTGCAGGGTACCCCCTCTTCTCATCACTCCTCTCCTCCGCGGCAGTCCTCCTCGGCCCCCCGCGTGCTCTCCCCCCCCACACCCCCAGCCAAGGCGAGCGTCCAGCCGCGACCCCCGGCGCGCTACATTTCGCTTCTGCGTTTCAGCGAGGCCGCCGCTCCGCTTCCACCGGGATCGGGGCGGGGGTAGCGGGGAGAGCAGGATATACCTCCCCGGGCCGGCGCGGGAGGGGGCACCCGGACTGGGGCGCCCAGCTCACTCGCCCCCAATCGCTTCTTGCCCGCGGACTTGGGCACGACTGGTTGGCTGCCGGTGGCAAACGTGATCTGGGGCAGACTGGGTGGTAACCCTCCCCCTCCCCTCTCCGCCCATTCCATCAAAAAAAAAGATTCTAGATAGACAACCGCGACAGCCAATCAGACGCCGGAGAGGGGGCGTGCCCAGGGCCACCCCGCCCCTTTCCTTCGCTCATTGCGCTGGAGGAAGGGCGTGCGGGGAAACGCAAGCGGCGCGGAGTGACGGGAACTGAGAGCGGGCTCGGTGCCGCGGGCTCGCGGGTCCCAGCGCCCATCGGCCGGTGGCTCCGGGTTCCCCGCGGCCCGGCGCTGGCGGCCCGGCGCACCACCCCTCGCGCCCGCTCCCCAGCCCGGCATCCGGACGCGCGCCTGCGCGGCTGCCCGGCATCTCGAGCGTTTCCTTCGAGCCCCGGGCCTTCCCGAAGACCGTCCCTGCTGGGGCGGCCCGCCGGCCGCGCTCCCGTGGCCTTCTCCGAGCCCAGGACCCGGACCCAACCGTCCCTTACCTTCTTGGACCCGACTCCTCTCCGCAGGCTGGTCGCCTCGCGCTCCCGCCAGGTCTCGCGTTCCTCGGAGCTAAGGGCTCCCCCCTGACGTCTCCTGCCTTAATAAAGTCCCGGCCTTGGGAGGGGTGGGGACGGGCCCGGCCGGACTCCTGGCCGAGGTCCCGCACGCATCACCTGGCTTCCGTTGACCCTCCCTTGAGCCTCGTGGCCGCCGTGGGGGTGAGGGAGTTGTCTCCATCCTGGGCGAAATGAAGGCCAACTTTCCCTGACGCGCCTGGTGGGATCAGAGACGGGCGTCCCCCGCTCGCGGTGCCGCCTCCTCCCTGGGGTGTCTTCACCCCCCGGCGCCAACTCAGTCAGTACCAGTTCTCTTCGGGATGTTTTTGTGCAGGGCATGTGACCTCCTCCATAAAGGAACCCCCCACTCCCAGGTTTTTCCCTCTTGTGAGTGGAACCTGTGACCATTGGTTCCTTCCTGTCCCCTTCCTCCCGGAAAAGTGGCACAGGGGGCCCATTCCAGCATGCCTCCAGCCCCCCGTACGGGGTTTGGAGCAGGGTTGTGCCTGGGCAGAGGAGACAGGGCTGGCGGTGGAGCTTTGGGCACACGTGGACAACATAGGAGCACGCGGCAGCCCCTGCTGGTCATTCCTGTAGACTACGACACACACACCCCGCCCCCCACTCCTAATTCAGCAGTTGCCCATTTGCATCAAGGGCCTGAAGTCTCACAGGGCCTAGCAAAGCAAATGTCAGTATCTTTGAAGCCGGTTTTTTGGCTTCAAAGGCTTGAGTCTGCCTGGAAACAGAAGTTGCTCTTAGACTGGCAAACACTAGTGATTCTCCAGAAGGATCAAGTTTGTGGATAGGGGTGGGATTGGGTGGAGAATTAAAGCTGATGTTTCTGGAGACATTTCAGTCTGTGTGTCTAATGTATCTGGGGACAAGGTCTGCCCTGCAACATTCACCAGTCTCCTTTAATCTTGCCACAGTTCTGCAGTCAGTATCTGTGTATAAGATCTCGGTCTCTCTACTATTCCTTCCCATTTTCCATTTCTTTTTTTACAATCTGAAAACACCACGAGTTCCCCTCTTCTGTTTCTTCAAGTTGAAGCGCACCAGACATATGGGAAATTGCATAAAACCCAATACTATGACACAGTGACCTGACCCAGATCGCTACCAATCAGATCATGAGTTAAATCATTCTCAGCACCTGAGAAGTCCTCCTATTTAAATCTTGGTCACTACTCCACAATGGTTACTTCTGCCTATTATTATAAATTAGTTATGCTGGCCTGCCTTTGAACTTTATACCAACAGAACCATTTAGTAATTATTTTGTATCTGACTTCTCTCAGTACTATGTTTAGAAGACTAATTGGCAATGTGATAGCAGTAGTTGATTGATGTTCATTGCTGTATAGTAGACCACTGAAATGGATATACTACAATATATCTGTATTCTGTGGATGGGCATTTGGGTTCTCTGTAGTTATAGCAATTGTGGTTATTTTGTTTATGTTCTTTGGTGCACTTGTGTTCCCACACTCTATTGGGAATATATACAGGAACAAAATTAGTGGGTCATTGTTTCCACAGGCATGTGTTTAGCTCTAGTAAATCTCCTAAACAATTTTCCAGTGTGTATTAATCCATAATCCTGCCAGCAATGCCTGGTGTTCTGTGTGCTCTTTATCCTTACTAACACTTGGTGTTGTCAATCTAAAAAGATTAAAAATTTTAGCCATTCTGGTGGGTGAATTAATAGTGGTATTACATTGGTGTTTAAATTTGTATTCCCCTGGTAACCAATGAAATTGGCCACAATTTCATATATGTATCTGCCTTTTGGATAGTTATTCAAGCATTAGGACTTTAAACTTTTTTTTTTCAGTACAGGGGTTTGAACTTGGGACATCATGCTTGATAGGTAGGCACTTTATCACTGGAGCCATGTCTCCCAGTCTTTAAGCTTTGTATCTTATTGCCTTGTAGTGGTTCTTCAGATACCTCAAATATGGCTCTTTTTTGGTTATAGGAATTGCAGAATATTTCTATGAATATATGCGTACAGCTAAGCCTTTCCAGATATACTCAGTAATTTCAGAATTGCAGCTCCCAAACACCTAAGTCTGTCCTGGCTTGGGAATCTGCTCAACATGGAGTCTGCTGCATTGGCCACTGGGGTAAGACTGTCATCTCTATCACTACCATATATCCCTGGCTCCTGGCACATAATGGGTGCTAAATAAGCATGTTAAATGAAGGATGAATGAGGTAGAGGAGGTAGGTAGTGTGCCCTTTGTTGTGCTGATGCCTAGAGTTAAACACCAAGAGAGCCTAGGAGAAGCACATTTCCTTTCACCTCAGCAAGCTGTGACTTTGGGAAGAGGAAGATACTCCAACCCTTCTATACTAAAAGAGCAGAAATAGCTGTGGTCTGAAGTGAGAAGCACAGATGTAGGGAGCAGAGGTCACAGATGAAAAGACAGGAACTAGCAGCAGGTAGCAAGCCAGCCAGAAACTCCAGAAGGAGAGACTTGGTTGGGGGTGTCAAGATGAGAGGGAGGGTCTCTGAGCATTGTTGTGGTGACCTTCACATGACAAGAAACTCTCAAAGGTCATGTTGCCTTCCTTCTACCTCATGAGATGTTTTTGTCCCATCCTCTTTTATACCTAGAAGAAGTTTGAGCTCCAAAAGAGATTGCTGGTACTTTGGTTGCAGTCTTATACCCACATCTCATTGTACACCTCTACTGTTATCTTTTTTTTCCCCTCTGCTTTCGTTTTAACTTCCATGGCCATTGTAGAATATCCATTCTGGAATATGAGAAGGGCATTGTTCTTCATGAAGTCTTTGTGCATCCTGCAGCACTATTTACTTGCTGTCTTTCTCTTCAGTGTCCTATCCTCCTCTTTCTTTTCCTCCTCCCTCCATCTCCCCCTCCCCTGTCCTTCCCCCTCCTTTTTTCTTGTTCTTCCTCTTCCTCCAGCTACAGTGCTGAGACCAGGTCCCACTGGGGGTGGGGGACAGAGATTGTCCCCTTGTATCACCCTAACAAATGTACTGTATGTCTTCTCCCCAGGTCCTCCAGAAGGTAACATGGCATTGATCCACAGGCTAATAGCTTCAGAAATTTCTAAATAAAATCAGGTTGAGGTAGCCATCTTGATGGAGTGAAATGGCATTTGTTTAGCAAGTGAGGGTTTTTACTTAGATATGAGTCACTTGGGGAGCTGGGGAAGGGTTTGTGGGGAGAGGAGAATTGTTGGGTACTACCAGGAGCCTGTGAGGAGCTTGTGAGGGGCAGGGCTCTGCTGGGCAGCCTTCTCCAGTCTTTTGGCACTTGTCTTAATACATGGCTCATTTAGGTTCTATCTTGGAGGCATGCCCCTTGGCCTTCCTTCAAGGTTCACTGCTAGCTGCTGAGGATTTCTTGGGGTACTTGGATATGAAGCATCATGAAATGAGAGCCCCGTAGGTCCTAGACCCCGGAACCAATGTGGTATGTAAGTCACAAGACTAGCTTGATTGATGTGCCTGGAAACTTTTGTCTTTTGTTTTGCTGGGAGAGGGTGCCCCTCCCATTTTCCCCTTTGCTATAAACCCCTCCCCTTTGTGTCCCTCCCAGAGGTCAACTTCTTTCCTGCTGCCCAAAGCTGAGGTGATATCCCCTTCCGGCTTGGTTCAGCTCTTGGAGGATGTGGTGATGGGGATGGGATGGGGACACGTGGCCATCTGTGCTCAGAGGTAGTGGCTTTCATCATCTCCATAACTACTCTCTGTTCCCTTTTCCTAAAGCCCATGTTGAAGTTTCCCAAGTTTGGATGGTCTCAGGTGTTTTGGAGATGCAGTTTTGAAATTACTGAATATAAGCCAGGCACGGGTGGCTCATGCCTGTAATCCTAGCTACTTAGGAGGCCGGGCAGGAAAGTCCATGAGACTCTTATCTCCAATTAACCACCAGAAAACCGGAAGTGGCACTGTGGCTCAAGTGGTAGAGCACTTGCCTTGAACTGAAGAGCTCAAGGACAGCGCCCAGGCCCAGAGTTCAAGCCCCACAACCAAAAAAAAAGAAAAAGAAAAAGAAAAAAAATTACTGAATGTAGTTGGAAAGGCTTGGCAACAGGCAAAATATCCAGTGGACTATAACCAGAGATAGAGGAGTAACCTCTGAGAGGCAGTGCTGTGGAGTGGAATGTGCCACAGCTATGTAATTACATAGGCTGAATTCATGCATAGCCACACATTAGGTATGTGACCTTAGATGAGATCTTTTGTGGTGGTGGTGGTGGTGGTGTGTGTGTATGTGTGTTGGTACACTGGGCTTTGAGCTCTTGCTTGCTTTCTCACTCAAAGATGACATTCTGCCACTTGAGCCAAACTGCTACTTCCAGTTTTTTGCCAGTTAATTGGAGGTAAGAGTCTCATGGATATTTCTTCCTGGGCTGGCTTTGAACTGTGGTCCTCAGATCTCAGCCTCCTGAGTAACTGGGCTTAAATGAGGTCTTTTATGTCCCTGGGCCACATCTATAAAAGGGAGACACAATTCCCTTTCTCAGGGAGAATTACCCATGATATCTGAAAAATTAATTATCTGCACATAATAGGACTATTATGGTTTACCAAAAAGGAAAAGCCACAAGCAGTGATTGGCAACTGGAAGGAGCAATTAAGGTGCTCTCTCTCTCTTTCTTTCTCTCTCTCTCTCTCTCTCTCCCTTACATGGAATACTAGACTTCACAGAAGGCATGCCGAACTGGAAAGGGCTAAAGCATGCAACTGCCCTGAGGTAGGAGCTAATCAGGAGCATCCTAGAAGAGGATCACAAGCCAGAGATAAGGAAGCTTTATCTTTTGAGAGCCTGAGTGCAAGAAGACTATATCTTGGGAACTAGATGATCTGACATCAAACAAGCCTTTGTTTATAGCCTTTTAAGCATTCGCTAGCCCAGGGTTTCCTAAGCTGGCTTGGTCCTAGGAATCACCTCTAGGCAATCTGCCTGTAATCTAGATTCCTTGGAGTCTGAGACTGTTGAAATCTTGATTCTAGGCTAGCCTGGGTAGAACTTTGTTTCTCAATGAAGAGCTGGATGTGGTAGTGCACTTACCATCCTAGCTACCAGGTAGCCCAACATAGGTAGATCTCACCCAGGCATGTTTCTGGGCAAGATTTCACAAACAGTAAGCCAAAATCAGGGCTGGAGCTATGTCTCAGTGGTTTGGTGGTTAAGCACAGTGGTTTGAACCCAAATTCAAACCCCGGTACCTCCACCTGTTTTTTTTTTAAAAGTTAAGCCAATAGTTTGTGTATTGGTTCACATCTGTAAAGGCTGGGCATCAAGTTCTCAGGTTTGAAACCAGCCTGGGTTATAGAGAGTTAAACATAGAATTATCAAATCAGCAGGCAATTCCATTCCTACAGAGGTTCCCAGAAGAATTAAAAAAATTGGAAAAAAGCATTGTGGTTAGAGTGAGATGGCAAGTAGACAATGGAGAACTTGGCACTTCTGAGGAATACCAGCTGCTCAACGCTTAGCTGGATGCAAAGTATAGCCCAAGTGGTAGAGCTCTATCTAGCAAGCACGAGGCTCTGAGTTCAGTCCCTAGTACTGAAAAAAAAATGTGAGAAGAAATATGAAATGATAGGCTTTAATAATGTGATCACTTATACAACTTCAAATATCCTTTACATGAACCTCTTTTCCTTCATGTATGTGTACACACACACACACACACACACACACACACACACACACACACACACACATGCATGCTAGTACTGGGGCTTGAACTCAGGGTTAGGATGTTCCACGCTCAAGGCTGGTGCTCTACTACTTGAGCCACAGTTCTACTTTTGGCTTTCTGCCAAATAGTTGACGATGAGTTTAACAGCCTTTTCTGGTTAAGCTGGCTTCAAATTGCAATCCTCTGATCTCAGCCTCTTGAGTAGCTAGGGTTACAGGCGTGATCCCCTAGCACCTGGCTTCCATCTCCTTTTGTGGTGCTGGGGATGAAACCCAGGGCCTCATGCGTGTTAGAGAAGTGCTCTACCACTGAGCTCCAACTCCAGCATGCGATTGTTTTATATTGCTTTCATTTTTCTTAGCTAGATTACAAGGTCCTTGAAGATAGACATTTATGTTTATTTCTGTTTTGTTTTGTTTTTTTTTGGTCATGGGGCTTGAACTCTGGGCCTGGGTGCTGTCCCACAGCTCTTCAGCTCAAGGCTAGCACTCTACCACTTGAGCCACAGTGCCACTTCCAGCTTTTTTATGTGGTGTGGAGGAATCCAACCCAGGGCCTCAGGCATGCCAGCCAAGCACTCTACCACTGAACCATCTTCCCAACCAGACATTTATGTTTTAAAATTTGTTTTTATTTGTAGGTCCAAGACATACTCAAACTCAGTACCTGATACTTTTGATCACTGGCTGGCATGAGCCACACCTCCAACCTCTTAAAATTCTTATTAATTAAAAATTATATTTCAAATTTCCATGATGATATTGCTAACATTCACACGTGGATTTTTGTTGAATATCTTTTTAAAAAATTTCTTTCGACCATATAGTTAGACATGGGATTACTGAGTAATAGGGCAATTTTATGTTAAAGTTTTTGAGGAAAGATCAAATGATTTTCCATAGCTGCTGTACTGTTTTACATTCCCACCAGCAAAGGTACAGGGCTTCCAACTTCTCTGCATCCTTGCCAACATTTGTGATTTTCCACTTTTTAAATTATGGCCAACCTAGTAAAATTTTGGGAGTAATGAGTTATCCCATTGCAGTTTCAATTAGCATTTCCCCAGTGACTAACCTAAATAAACTTTTAATCTACCTACCATTCTTTAATTCAATGCCTCTATTTTCTACCTGTTTTATTGTAATAGCCTACTTGCTAGGGTAATTATTGGGATCAAATGAGTCTATGTAGACCTGGATCGAGAGCTAGATATTACTTAGAAAAGTTAGAAGGAAGGAATTAAAGGAAGGAGGGCTGAAGGGCAACAGGAAGGAAGGTCGGAAGAAAAGGGAAAGGAAGGAAGAAGAGAGGGAAGACGAACCCCTTACTTATTCTTCCATTTTCCACCTCTGATTTACAAGACCCAAACTGGACTCCTTTTAATTTTATGAAGGCCTCACCTGCTGTCTCCATGCACACTCTGTGCTCTCTACATAGCACAGTTCCCTCAGCTCTTTGTCTACTCAACTCTCTTTCAACTTGCTTTTTTTTTGTTGTTGGTCATGGGGCTTGAACTCTGGGCTTGGGTATCTCATTCAACTTGGAAGTGTCATCTTGAATGATGACCTCCTCATCGCAGAGGCCTTCCTGGTTTTGCAGACCTAGCACCATGAATATATTCATGAGAGCTCCCTGCCTAAACTTCTTGCTTTGGAAGACAGCATATATGATAACCACAAAATAAGTCTAGGACTGGGAATGTGGCTTAGTGGTAGAGTGCTTGCCTAGCATGCATGAAGCCCTGGGTTCGAATCCTTAGTGCCACATAAACAGAAAAAGCTGGACGTGGCACTGTGGCTAGAGTGGTAGAGTACTAGTCTTGAGTAAAAGAAGCTCAGGGACAGTATCCAGGCCCTGAGTTCAAGCCCCAGGACTGGCAAAAAAAAAAAAAAAAATCTAAGTCTATTAAAAACACCAGAGCTGGGGTGGCTCACATCTATAATCCTAGCTACTCAAGAGGCTGAGATCTGAGGACTGCAATTGGAAGCCAGCCTGGGCAGGAAAGTTCTTGAGGTTCTTTATCTAGTTAACCAGCAAAAAGCTGAAAGTGGAGGAATACAGTAGATCACCACTTCTAGGTGAAAAAACAAAAACAACTAAACAAGAGAGAGAGAGAGGCCCTGAATTCAAGCCCAGTACTGACATGTGCACACACACACTGATAAGATGCTTCCTAAATTTTCATGCCACTCTATGCAGAGGTCATGCTAGTCATTCTCTGTATCATTCCAATTTTTGCACATGTGTTTTTAAAGCAAACATGCTCTGGAGTTTAAAAATAAGTTAATGGAGTCTGAATGTCCCAAAAGTTTGTGAATTGTGCTACTATGAACTTTGGAAAAGGACTAGGCTTTGGAGTTAGAAAGGAATGGAGGTGGTCTCTGATACTGTATGTGGCTATTTACAACACTGCCCAATGGCTGAAGAACATTTTGTGGTATTAAACACTTATCCTGAAATTTTTATATTTGTAAACCTAAATGTAATATACATGCCAGGCACTGTTGTTGGCTCATGCCTGTAATCCGGCGAAAGAGGCTGAGATTTGAAGATCTGGTTCAAAGTCAGCCCAGGCAGCAAAGTCTGTGAGACTCATCTCCAATTAAACACCAAAAAAAAATGCTAGAAGTGGAGCTGTGGCTCAATTGGAAGAGCACTAGCCTCAAGCCCAACAGCTCAGGGACAACGCCAAAGCCTCCAGTTCAAGCCCTAGGACTGGTGTGGCCACAGACACACAGACAAACACAGACACACACAGAACACACGCACACACACACGCACACACACACATACACACGTAACATACACAAAGCATGACTTTTTTTTATCACTGACAGTTATATTGGGCATTGACCATTAGAACTGTAAATAGTTTCATTTTAATAATATTTGATTTAAATAATTAAAAAATTAGTGGAATGTTCAGCTTCTGCAAAAAGAACTTTGTCTCGTGTTTTCTGGAAGAAAAAGAAGTGCTGGATGGGCATGTTTTTAGCAATTCAGGTTCAAAGTCAAGGATTTCACCTGAGTTTTATTCCCTTCCTTCCTATTCTTTTTGCTTATGAATAATTTGTTTTCCCCCTTTAGGTGGTAATAAGGGGAGGTACTAGTAGGTACTAGTATGTTTGAGCTGAACTTTTGATGGGGGCATCTATTATCTGATGGAGCTTCTTCAAGGTAGATTTGGGGGTGGGGTGGCAGATGAGTGAGGGTAGGGGTAAAGTGAATGCCTCAGATTCATTGCCCCCATATCCTGCCAAGGGTCTTGGGGCTCATGTTGTCCTGGCCAGGTCTATATTTTCAGCCATTCCCTCCCAAAGCCCCCAGGACCACTGGGCTGGACTGTGGTTCTAAGAGTAGGATTTAGGGCAGCTCCTCAAGAGAACTGACTGCCCTGTGGGTTCCTTTTCAAAACTGGAAGAGGTTGCTGAAGGGCTCCTACAGACCTGGTTGTCCCCAAACTCAGAGAAGACAAAAGAGCTGAACTAGAAGCTGGGGGTGGGGGCTGGGAAGGTGGCTCAGTGGTAGAGCGCTTGCCTTGCATGCATGAGGCCCTGGGTTCGATCCCTCAGCACCACATAAGCAAAAAAGAGGCCCTGGTTTGATTCCTTAGCACCATATAAGCAGAAAAAAAACCGGAAGTGGCACTGTGGCTCAAGTGGTAGGGCTGAAGAGCTGAGGGACAGTGCCCAGGCCCAGACAGACAGACAGACAGACAGACAGACGACGACGACGAAGCAGCAGCAGCAGCAGCAGCAGCTGGGGGTAGGGTGGTAAGAAATATAAGTAGACAAAAGGAGAGGTGTCAATGGGGAGAGGTCAGCCTGGGGAACACAGAAAGCTCCAGCTAAGGACTGAATCCAGCAGCAGAGCTAACAGTCTTTGTCTTCATCATCTCCCTGGATCAGAAAGAATGAGTTAAATGGCACAGGTTTTTGGGGCAGGCAGCAGGGTGCTCCTGAAACAATACTAGATGTGGAGATTTTGGAGATTTTGGACCTGCATCTTAATTCTGCCCTTAAGAACCATGTCATTCTGGGTGAATGACTTTGCTGAGTCTGCTTTCTCTTCTTAACTATTTAAGCAGGCTTTGATTCAGACAGACTCTTCCCCTAACTCCTGCATGTTAACTTTGGAGTCTCAGTTGCCCTTGTTTGTAAAATGGAGAATGAGAGCTATGGCATTAGTCACTTTTCTGTTTCCAAGAACAATACAGAGACTGAGTGGGTTATAACAAAAGTGTTTTATTGTGGCTTACAGCTCTGGAGGTTCAAAGTTCAAGATGTGATGAGGCAGGTGGAAGGCATTTGTTTGCCCTCTGGTAACGGCTTTGTCCCCAGATGGCACAGGTAATCATATGGCAAGAGAAAGGAACACACATGTATATCTCTGTGTCTTCTACTTCCTTTTTATAATGGGGTGTCATGTGATATTTTAATATACACATATATTGTGTAGTCTTTAAATCAGGCTTAAACACACCTGTTTCCTCAATCTGTCTTAAAAAGGCACCAGTAAAGTCAATCATGGGGCTTTACCTTACATTCTAATTCTAACCACCTTGCAAAAGCACCACTTCTATAGACCAGCGTTGGATTAAATTTCTAGCTTCTTAATGCCATTCACATATGTCTTTGGGGATTAAGTTTCCAACTTGTGAGTTCTGGGGACAGATTGAGACCATAGCTACTGCTATTAGGATTAAATAAAATCTCTAAAGCCAGGGACTGGTGGCTCACGCCTGTAATCCTAGCTACGAAGGAAGGCTGAGATCTGAGGTTCACCATTCAGAACCAGCCCAGGCAGAAAAGTATATGAGTCTCTTAACCTCCAAAAAAGTCAGAAGTGAAGGTATGATTCAAGTGGTAGAGCACAAATCTTGAGCAAAAAAAAAAACAAAAACAAAAAAACCCCACTAAAGAACAGCATTCAGGCCTTGAGTTCAAGCCCTAGTGCCAGCACACACACACACACACACACACACACACACACACACACACACACACACACACACACACACACACACACACACACACACACACACACACACACACACACACACACACACACACCTCTGATGGGAAGTAGACTCCCTCGGTCATTTAGGATCATGAAATACTGTGAGTTTGAGTGACAGATAGCAGCTAGACAGAATCACTCAGGATGAGTTCCTGCCCTGCAGGACCCTGTATTTTTCTCACAGGGTTCTTGTGGGGGTAGTCTGAGACAAGGTACATGAAGCTACTTTTTAGGGCTCTGCACAAATGTGAACATTATTACTGGGTTTTCAGCTTGCCCTCTAACAAAGGCTGAGTAAGTCCTGAATTGGCCACAAAGGGAGGGCTAGGGAAGGAATGTGAATCTTAGGGGGAATAGCAAGAAAAGCTTGAATAATCCCCACACTGTGTTCCTAACACACTGACAAGTAAGCCAGAGCTCTAATGAACAGCTCACATCCAGAGGAGGGAGGTTCAGAAATGAGTGAGAGGGGAGGACACAGGGGTTATGAGAAGAGGGAAGGGAACCCACTGCTATCAAACCCCAGGAAGGCATCCTTGCCTGATGAGTTAAAAAGAGAGGGAGCAGCCTCTCCCTCTCACAGTTCCCTCTGTGTCTCCCTCTGTGACCCCAACTCCCTGGAGAGCCACAAAGCACAGCTCCTGACCTTGAGCCAAGAAATGCTGCTTTCCAATACCCCCCACCTGGCAGCTAATGGAATAGATTCAAAAGTGCTCAGGATTGGAGTGGAGGTGGGGAGGAGTCAGGAACTCGGCTGTACCCCAATGGAGGCTAGTCTGCACCTCCTCAGACCCTGCCAGCCCAGGACAGAGCTTGCAGTCTGCTTCTCCTCTCCACATACCCTTGGTCAGCCTGAACTAGGATGTGATGCCAGAGCTAGGGCTCTGCTGGGTCCTAAGTTCCACTGGGAGGCCAGGTGTTAAGTGTTCTTCCTTCTTTCCACATCCACAGGATGTGCTAGGGAAATGTGCCTCCACAGTGGCAGGTAGCAGGACCAGGGCAGGGGAAGGAGTAAAGCCCAGGGCACTCTTGAGCTTTCTTCTCTAGGCCTAGCCTCTAGAGGCCAGGAGATCTGAGCTTCCCCCAAGAACCCTCCCTCAGGTTCACATCTTAGGGTGCTGTAAAGATGTGTTGATCTGGCCAACCATGCTGTTATAGAAGCAATCCTGTTTGATTAAGTCCTGCTCCAGCTGAAGGACTGGAGAGTGGGGAAGGGAAGTGGGGGCAGGAGAAGAGAGACAGAGCCAGGGATGATGTGAAATTCTAGCAAGCCGCAACATATAAACCCCGGGGGAGGATGATCTATCCACTCAGAGTGCTCAAAATTAACACTCCTATCAGGTACAACCTGGTAAGAATTTTACAGATTTGCATTTTAAGTCAGGCCTGGAGGGAGGAGGATCAGTTAATTAACCAGCCAAGGACAGACAAGTGGACATTTTTTTTTTTTTGGTCTGGTCGTGGGGCCTGAACTCTGGGCCTGGGCACTGTCCCTCAGCTCTTCAGCTCAAGGCGAGTGCTCTACCACTTGAGCCACAGTGCCACTTCCGGCCTTTTCTTTTCTGCTTATGTGGTGCTGAGGAATGGAACCCAGGGCCTCATGCATGCAAGGCAAGCGCTCTACCACTGAGCCACCTTCCCAGCCCCAAGTGGACACTTTCTAAGACAGGAGGGACAAGAAGGCAGCTAATGGCAGTGAGGGGGATGCAGAATATGGGAGGAAAAGAGAAGCCAAACTTTTGCTCATCTTCCTTCACTCCTGGTCTTGTTCTTGGGTGAGTTTAGGAGTGAGCCAGGCAGGTGAGCTGTATATTACAATGTGGTTTTGACCAAAACTTTCATTAATACTTGCTTTTCCCCCGTTGGTTAGTCCTGGCCCCTGGTTAGTCCTAACTCAGCTGGCTCCTTCCTCTCACAGTTCATGCTGGTGAGGAACTGATGTCTTGTACGTGTCAGCATTCTGGATCAGCTCAAAGATGAATTTCACCTGGGTCTCATACGCCTGGATTGAGATTTTCTCGTTGAGTCCGTGGATGCTGAGGGAAAGAGATGTATTTGGGGACAGATGAAGAGCCAAGTGACATAGCATAGTGTCATTACAGAGCGTCCTCCCTACTTCTCCCCACATATTAGGACTTAAAATTTGCCAAGGAGCCCACATCATGGTAGAACACATGACTGTTAACACTAAGGGGCCTTAAATTCCATAGTACTTGTGAGACTGGAAGGACAGGCTCACCTCACCTTTGACCTCATGGGGTGTGTGTGTGTGTGTGTGTGTGTGTGTGTGTGTGTGTGTGTGTGTGTGTGTGTGTGTGTGTGTGTGTGTGTGTGTGTGTGTGTGTGTGTGTGTGTGTGCTTGAACTTGGGGCCTGGATGTTGACCCTGAGCTCTTTTGCTCTAAGCCATGAACTTGTCTCTGAGCTCTTTTGCTCGAAGCCATGAACCATGGCTCCATTTCTGGCTTTTTGTGCTTAACTGGGGATAACAGTCTCATGGACTTTTCTTGCCCTGGCTAGCTTTGAACCTCAACCCTCAGATCTCAGCCTCCTTAGTAGCTAGGATTACAGGTGTGAGGCATAAGTGCCTGACATGTCTCCCAAATTTATAGGTAGAAGATGAGGTTCTGAGGGTAAGCCTCTCTTAAAGGGAAGAAAAGCACCCAATGATTTAAAAACAACAACCCCCCACCCCCAACCCTAAGGTTTCATTAAGTATCCTACTACTTCAGCCTCCTGATCTCTGGGATTACAAGAATGCATCATCACCACACCCAAATAAAGGACTTGTTTCCATCAAGTTTTCACTAATCACCCAAATCTCTCCATCCTTTTTCAAAAGCGGAAATTCCCACCAATTCTGGGAAGTGGTGGGACTGGTACTGGGCATAGTAGGTTTCTACAGTGTCTCCTTTTTTATAAATGTTTGCCAAACCCCAGCTTTTCCCTATTGGTGGGAATATTTCCATGGCAGGAAGGGACTGGATAGGTGGATGGACTCTTTTCTACCTGCTCCTCAAACCTGTTCCACTCACCTACGGAAGTCCTGAGGTTGCAGGCAGATGGGGTTGAACAGATATACGCCAGTAGTGAGGTTGGTGTAGTGCCGGCTGTCTGTGTTGGCAATAGAAATACCTAGAAAGGGAAGATTAAGAGAAGGGCTTTATGTGGTAGAAATGGAGTAGCTGGAAAATTAGAAACTTTGCTTACTATAGAGCAATGCTTGGGCCTTCCTAGAGGCTAAGGCTATGATTGTGTTTTGTGGTACAAACTGTCCTTTCTCAAAAACTTATAAAAATCATAGTTTAGACAGGTACCAGTGGCTCATTCCTGTAATCCTATCTACTTAGGAAGCTGAGATCTGAGGACTGGGGTTTGAAGGCAGTCCAGGCAGAAAAGCCTATGGGACTACTATCTCCGGTTAACCATCAAAAAGCCTAGAGTGGAAGGGATGGAGGAAGGGTGAACAAATACAATGATGCTATTCAGTATACACTATGTGGAAAATGAGCTATGTGTGAGCAGGAATGGGAGGGGGAAAGTGGAGGAGAGTAAAGGAAAGAGTGACATTGTCCGAAAAAAATGTATTCACTGCCTGACTTATGAAATGGTAACCTTTCTGTACACCATCTTAATAGTAACAATTAAAGTATATTAAAATAAGAAGCAAGAAATGGAGCTGTGGCTCAAGTGGTAGAGCACCAGACCCCATAATTTTAACGGGGAACATGGAATCTCTTCCCAAGAGCATTGGATATCCCTTGAATGATCTAAGCTGAATTCTGTCTCTCCATAATGACCAGAACAGCCAATATCTTAACTCAATTTCCATTATTTGGACCATTCACTATTTTAGGAACCATCAGTCTAGATACTCCTTTATTATCTGACCTTTATTTTGTATGGCCGTATGTCAGGCTCCTGGGTGGCTAGGTCAATTCTTTGAGAGTGAGTCTAGGTGATCCTCTTTCATTCTCATAGTGTACCAACATTGTTAAGGTAGATTTGGATAGTATGCTAGAAGACTGAGAAATGGGAGCAGAGAGGAGCTGCTGGGTTTGGACTGTCTACAGAGGCAACTGGGGTTAAAGTACATATTATGGGCCTGGAGGCTTTTCTGTGCTGACATTCTGGATTTTGCTGATAACCTATTACCCCAGTGGTTCTCAGAACCAGAACCTAGATCTTGGTTCCTTCATGGCTCCTCCAGAGGAGGTGTGGATTTCAAGCCCATGCTCCTCTGTGACAAATGGGGATAGTCTCAGCTGGGCTAGGTTAAGCAAGGACCCTGGACTGACTGACCTAATTTATTGTTTCTGCTCTTTTCCTGTTTGCTTTCTCACTTCCACCCTGAGGGGAAAATACAGTTCCAGTCCCATTGGGAGGGGGAGCAGCCAGCTGTTTCCAGGATGAACAGCTGGGGTGGGGGTAGGGCAGCAGATATTGGATAAGAAACTATCCCAGCCCTTGCCACACTCCTCCGCTACAGCTGATGAAGTCATTACCGGGGGCAACAATGTTGATTTCCGGGAAGATGGACTGTATGGTCTGGCGGAGCAGCTGGTAGCCAAAGGCCTGGTCATCGGAGGGGCTGATGGGTGGGGGGTCAAAGGCCCTTAACACGTGCAATTGGACTCTGTCATCAGCCACAATATTCTTGACCAGTTCTAGAACCTTTAGGGTGAAAGCAAAAGGGTTAGGTTTCTTTCTTAAAATAGAAATTTAATGATTAATTTTCTATTTAATTAGGGTATATTAGATATACAGAGATTTCATTGTTACATTTCCACACATATTATATCAATAATATATCAATCTCACCCCCTCTAGCACTCTCTTCCCCCTGCTTTTAGACTTATTTATCTCATTTATTAAAGTATCATATAAATTGAAATATTCCTGATTTGTCTCCAGCAAGGCACAATTACAGATTCTGTATGTCCTGAGATTTGCAGAAAGGATGTATTGTATTTTATGTATTTTTATTTTTATTCATTTTTAGCATTGGGATGTCTATTTCAACTCCTTGGGTATAGGTGATGTAAGTACTAGGCTGTCCCTGAAAGCAAGCTACAGCACAGCAGATATTTTTTTATGCCTATGAATCAGATAGAGAATTGGATAATCAGGAAATGTTGTGCCTTTCCCTTAGGTAGTCAGCCATGGGCCAGATGCAAGTATAACAAGACCTAGTAGAAAGGGGATCTCAGTCATCTATGCCAAGAGGATCCTGCTCTACCCTTCAAGTCTCAGGTAACAATAGGTCCGTACACTTCTCTTTGCCTTCTCTGGCCATCCTTGCTTCCTGTTTGTAACCAGTTGCTCTGGAGCTGGGAAGATGAGTTCAGCATACACAAAACCTCAGGAGCAAGGGGGTACTTCTTTCTTTGCCTCCTTTCCTGAGGAAGGAACCTGAGGAAACTCCTAGGAAATTCAGCCTTACAGGGAATCCAGCAAAATCCCAGGAAGGATGCAGACCAGACCCTGAGGATTTAGGTCACACATGTAACTACACTAGGAGACTTTCAGTGGTCCTTCAAGGCCGCTCAGACACTCAAGAGAAATCCAGCATAGCCTCAATCCATTTGGTCAGTATTTGTTATAAAATGGCTTCTGAGCTGGGCACTCAAGCCTGTAATCCTAGCTACTCAGGAGGCTGAGATCTGAGGACTGCCTTATGATGCCAGACTGGGCAGGAAAGTCCATGAGACTCTTATTTCCAATCCACTAAAAAAAAAAAAAGGAGCCAGAAGTAGCTTAAGTGGTAGGGAAAGTGCCTAGGCCATGAGTTTAAGCCCCAGGATCAGCACTAAAACAAAATCAGGACCCCGCCTCTGTCCTAGAAAAAGGGATGAACCAAATCTGGGGATCACTTGAACGGGGTATCACCACTGAAGCATCCTATAGAAGCCTGGCAGAAGTGGAATCCAAGGGGAGCAAGGCTTCCCACTTCTAGTGCCAAAACTTATCTATTTAAGTCAAAGCAAATTCTTTGTCATTGGGTAGGTGAAAGGCTCATCTGTTTATTTCCACTTAGAGCTAAATTTTATTCTATGGTCCAAATATTGTAAGAATTAGGAACTGGGGATATGGCTCATTGGTAGAGCATTTGCTTAGCAATATGTGAGACGCTAGATTCAACCCAGCATTGCAAAAGAAAAAAGAATTAGGGATAGGGATAGTGGCTTAGTGGTAGAGTGCTTCCATAGTCTTGAATCTTCTCATGCAAGCTGGGCAAACAAACATACTACTGTTTATTTATACCATGCTCCCAGACCCTTTTTCATTTTCCTCCTGAGGTAGAGTCTCATTTGTGTGGACTGGAGATCCTTCTGCCCCTGCCTCCTAAGTAGCCAGGGTAGTAGACATGTGCTACCATATCCAGCCTGTCTTGATACATTTTTCTAAGCTTAAAGCTGGTGGCTCACAAATCCCATACGTTATCATCTATAATCACAGCTACTTAAGAGGCTGTAATCTGTGTGGATCCAGGCTTGAAGCCAGCTTTGACAAGAATTCCCTGAGACTCTTATCTCTATTTAACCAGCAAAAATCTGAAAGTGGAGATGTGGCTCAAGTGGTAGAGTTGCCAGCCTTGAGTGAAAAAGCTAAGGGATAGTGCTCAGGCTTTGTGCTCAGGCTCTGAGTTCAAGCTCCAGAATGAGCCTTTTTTTTTTTTTTTTCCTTCTCTGTCAGGGCTTGAATTCAGGGTCTGGGCACTGTCCCTGAGCTCTTTTGCTCAAGGCTAGTACTCTACTATTTTGAGCCATAATGCCACTTCCAGTTTTTGAGTGGTTAATTGAAGATAAGAGTCTCATTGGGAATTTTTCTGCCTGGGCTAGCTTCAAACTGCATTCTTCAGATCTCAGCCTCCTGAGGAGCTAGGATTATAGGCATGAGCCACTTGTACCTGGCCAGAACTGGCAATTTTTTTTTCCAGTCCTGGGGCATGAACTCAGGGGCTGGGCACTATCCTTGAGCTTCTTTTGCTCAAGGTTAGCACTCTACCACTTGAGCCACAGTGCCACTTATGGCTTTTTCTGTTTATGTGGTACTGAGGAATTGAACCCAGGGCTTCATCATGCAAGGCAAGCACTCTGCCACTAAGACACATTCTCAGCCCTGGCTTTTTTTTTTTTTTGGTTGGTTATGGGACTTGAACTCTGGGCCTGGGCACTGTGCCTCAGCTCTTTAGCGCAAGGCTAGTGCTCGACCACTTGAGCCACAGCACCACTTCTGGCCTTTTCTATTTATGTGGTGCTGAGGAATTGAACCCAGGGCCTCATACATGTGAGGCAAGCACTCTACCACTGAGCTACCTCCCCAGCCCCGGCATTTTGTTTTTAAAGAAAGGTTCCTAAAGTTGTTCTATATGAAGTAGAGTGTGATTTGTTATCTCAAATTACTTCAAGATTCTTGTCTGTAGAAACTGAAGAAGGTATAGAGATTGGATCTTTGCAGATCCTTACAGTAAGCGGGCATGTTTCCCACCACTTCCAGGCCAGGTACTGACTCAAGTGCATTTCTCTATCTCATTTCTGAATTTCTAGTATTGACCACATGAAAGGCATGTAAAAAATGTTGGTACATGAGCTATAAAAGACGTGAACCCATAAAAATGACAATAGGAATTGTTTCATTAAGCAGTGTGCCCGGATTATCCAGCCAGTACTGCTGGACTAGGATCCACCCAGCTGCAGCAGGGTGATCTGTTACTGCTTTCTGAGTATATGATCCATATGGATGGAGGGGAGGAGGACAGCCAGGAAGAAGATACTCATCTGAGATGGATGCATAGGGGTATGAATTTTGAGCCAAAATTTGAAGGAAAGATATAAAACTGATGAAAAACTGGGAAGAGAGATTCTGATCAGGGGGAGGGCATGCACAAAAACGGAGTTGTAATCCCAAACTTTGTGCCTTGGAAATCACGTCTAGCTGTGTGATGTGAATGGTAAGCTCCTTGCCTTCTCTGTGTCTCCCTTGCTGATCTAGTAACATGTCCTGGGATTCTTCTCCATGTTTTGGATGCGTCTGGCATTGTATTATAACCCGTGAGCTACACACTATATGAACAAAAAGGAGAGAGATAAACAGCTATAGGTTATAGATTACCTATAACCAGGCTCTGGGCACCAGTGGCTCATGCCTGTAATCCTAGCTTCTCAAGAGGCTGTAATTCTCAGACTGATTTGAAGCCAGCATGGACAGGAAAGCTCATGAGACTCTTATCTCCAATTAGCCAGAACTGGAACTGTGGCTCAAGTGGTAGAGTGCTAGTCTTGACTACAAAAGTGAAGGGACAGTGTCCAGGCACTGAGTTCAATCTCCAGTACTGGTAAGTATGCATGCACACATGTATACGCAAGCACACACACACACACACACACACACACACACACACACACACACACACACACACACACACACACAACACCCCTCCCCCCAGGATGATATATATTATGTGACAGCCTGCCCCTGGTCTCCAGTGAGTAGCCATATAGCAGGATGGAAGCTGGACTTGCTAACCAAAGAGCTGTCTGTTTTTTAAGAATCCATTGTCCTTGTCTTCATCAAATGTACATTCATGTGAGGGGAAAATATCTCTACATACAAAAGAGAACAACATAAGGCTTTGGGAAGGTTTTTTTTTTTTTGGGTCTGGTCATGGGGCCTGAACTCTGGGCCTGGGCGCTGTCCCTCAGCTCTTCAGCTCAAGGCTAGCACTCTACCCCTTGAGCCACAGCACCACTCCCGGCTTTTTTCTTTTTGCTTATGTAGTGCTGAGGAATCGAACCCAGGGCCTCATGCATGCAAGGCAAGCGCTCTACCACTGAGCCACCTTCCCAGCCCCTTGGGAATGTGTTTGAAGGACTAGAAACACAGAACTGAAAGGTTAATATGCTCTAAAATGCCTTTGAGGTCTCTCTTCCTCCTCCCACTCTTGTGTCTCTGATTATTGCATGGGAGGAAGTCACTCTATTATAAGCCAACAAATATCAGCTAACATTGTTTTTCCTTAAGATTTTTTTTTGAGAAAAGGTCTCACTATATAGTCCAGGCTGGTGTTGGAACTTAAGATCTTTTCCTGTCTCATTCTTCTGAGTGCTGAAATTATAGGTGTGCACCACCATGCCCAGCAAACAGCAGTTACTGAGTGCTATGTGCAAGGCCCCTGACCCAAGAACTTTCATATATTGACTCTAGTAATGGATGCTACTATTTTTCACATTCTAATATGTTCCCTCAATGGAACTCTTGTGACCTGGATCAGTATGGATTCTCCCTGGGTCTCAGTGACCAGAAGAATCTCTGGCCTTCACTGACCCCTTTCATCTAACTCAGCCCACTTCCCCACCACCATCCCATAATCATCCCATAATCTTGCCACTAGACTATTATACCAGCAGAATGGGAGTCAGGTCTTTGGTTCACCACTCTCCCAATGTCTAGTTCACGGTTAAGTGGACCTTGGTGGATGAATAAGTGAAGGAAGAAGTCTCTATAATACAATGACTGAGTCCTTGTAGCTCTGAGGCCCTCCCTCCCAAGATGGCATATTCCAGTTCTTTTAGTGGAGGCTCCCTGAATCCTCTCCCAATGGCCTTTTTTCTACTCTTTTAGGCCCATTAGGGACAAACCTTCCTTCCTACACAGTAGCCTGTTCAATTTCTGAAGACTCCTCTCTCTCCTCTCTCCTCTCTCTCCTTCCTTCCTTCCTCCCTTCCCTCCCTCCCTCCCTCCCTCCTTCCTTCCTTCCTTCTGTTCTTCCTCCCTTCCCTCCCTCCCTCCCTCCCTCCTTCCTTCTTCCTTTCTTTCTTTTTTTTTGGTCAGTCATGGGGCTTGAACTCAGGGTCTGGATGCTGTCTCTGAGCTCTTTTGCTCAAGGCTAGTAGTGCTCTACCACTTTGAGCCACAGCGCCACTTCTTGTTTTTGAGTGGTTTATTGGAGGTAAGAGTCTTATGGACTTTCCTGCCTGGGCTGGCTTTGAACCAGGATCCTCAGATCTCAGCCTTCTGAGTAGCTAGGATTACAGGTGTGAGCCACTGACATCTGGCAAGACTTATATCCTATGGATAGGTGCTGGAGTCTATCTAAATCTAGAAAATGGAAGACCAATTGGAGATGGAGGAAGAGTACTCAGGCAGCTGCTTGTGTTCCTGCTGAATCCAGCATAAGGATATAAGCAGCCCTCAGGCTGTGTGTCTGATACATGGCACTAGAGAAAGCCCTGAGCAGCACCAATGGGAACCACACAAGCTTTTTGCGTGTGGAAGTTTTCCATTGCTCAATGGGACAGGTGGGCAGGGTGGGGCTAGGGACTGCAGGGGTGTCACCAGATAGTCCAGGAGGGAAGGCCTCTGTGGAGGGGAGAGAGTAGGGAAGTACTAGTGCCAAAGGACCTGGGGAGATGAAAGCCATGGCTGGGTGGAAATAGCCCTTCAAAAGGGCATGGAGTTGGAATGAGACTGGGAAAAACTGGTGGAAAGAGGCTCAGGGAGGGGAATTCAGTGATTTCCTGGCCCCATGGGCCCACAGGGAGAGGACAAAGGTTGGCACCTGATGAAAAGCAGCGGAATCATCAACCACTCCCTGATCTGAAGAGGAGGGTATTTTCCTCCTGTGTAGGGACAGATGAAATCTCCATGGGAAGGGCTTTGGAGAAAGGACCACAAAAATCTAAGTGTATCTTGTGATAAGATAATCTAGGTCTAACAGGTTAGATCTTCCTCTCACTCATTCAAGAATATGCTGCCCACTTCATAGCTAAAGAGCTGTCTTTTTGGTTAAGTTTTGAAAGACTAGGTTTACCTTCTTACCCCTTTTTAGTTCTGGGTATTGAACCCAAGGCCTTTTACATGTCAGGCAATTATTATACCTCTGACGTACAACTCTAGTTTATATTTAAACTATAGCTTATATTTTGGAACTACTGGGGTTTGAACTCAGGATCTCCTGCTTGTTAGGAGGTGCTACTTCTGCCATACTTCCACCTTTTTTTTAATGATTATTTTAGAAATGGAATCTAGCGAACATTTTTCTACAGGTTGACTTCCAACCACAAACTTCCAGATCTCAGCCTCCTGAGTGGCTAGGATTAAAGGCATGAGCCATTGTTGCCTAACTGAATTCTTTTTAAATGTTTGAATAAACTGGTATTTCCTAGAGACGCCAAACATTGTGTGTAACTTCTGCTCACCCTTTAACATCTCTACCTCAGCCTTGCCTGGCCAGAGGAAGTCTGACTCATTTTTATATTCTCTAATAAAATAAGATACACTCTCATCATGGCACTAGTGGTGACTCTCCAAGTTCCAATTATGTTAATAACACTCCAGCTGTACCTGTACAATTTTCTAATATAAACTTAAACATTTTTTCCAGTGCCTTGCACATAACAGGCAAGCAGTCTATCAGCGATCAATATCCCAGACCAAGAGATATCTTTTGTGTATGTATGTGTGCATGTGTGTATGCTTGTGTGTATGTGTGCACGTGCGTGCGTGTGTTCGTGAATTCACACACACACACACACACACACACATACATCCTGGGGCTTGAACTCAGGGCTTGAGCACATATCCCTGAGCTTTTGTGCTCAAGGCTAGTGTTCTACCACTTGAGTCATAGCTCCACATCCTGATTTTTGGTGATTAATTGGAGATAAGCGTCTGATGGTCTTTCCTGCCCAGGCTAGCAGAGCCCAGATCTTAGCTTCTTGAGTAGCTAGGATTATAGGTGCCAGCCACTGGCACCCAGCCTATTAAACAAACAAACAAACAACTAGGATCTCACTATATCACCCAGGCTGGTCTTTGACTGTTGGGCTCAAATGATCCTCTTACCCCAGTCTCCCAGATAGCTGTGGCTATAGGCACCATGCCCCATGCCTTTTCAAACTTCTAAGTCATTTCTCCTCAAACTGGCCATTACCCAGGATAAATATCTTGGATCCACACTCCCTTTTTCTCAATGCATAATCTTTTTTTCTCAATGCATAATCTTATTACTGTCTCTGCTCCCCCACATCCCACTGAACCCTTTTCTCTGGCAAGTGAGTGGTCCTTTTTGCCCCATGACTGTGTTCTCATTTCAGATCTTCATATGCAGTGCCTGAGATGATGCAATAGTCTCCCAATGGTCTCTGTTTACTCCATCATGCCACCAACATTACTTCTCTAACAGCAAGTCTCAATCTATCATGGCACTGTTTGAAGACCTCTGAAAGTTCTCTCCTTTCAGATCAGACCCTAAAGTTTTCAGCATGGCACACAAGGCCTTGATAACCAAGCTACAACATCGTCTATCAATTTTCATTTCCCATTACTTCCCAATTCATCCTATTGTTCAACCACAATGACTATCTTACTTGGAGTACTATCCTGATGCTCCTTGAAGCCTAGATCAAATTCCGAGTCATCAGGAGAGACTTTATCCTCTAAGGGAGCATCAGTGCCCTTACTACTATGGTAGTTTGTTCACCCCTAATTCTTATAGCAGAGTTGTGGCTGGAAGCCCAGAATCTGAAACATGGCCACCAATGTGTGAGTTTCTCATTACATACTTTGTTGCTTTGTATCCAGGTGAATGAGAGTAATGAAGTTTCTGCCTCATAGGGTGGTAGTGAGGACTAAATGGACATGTGTAGACTTTAAAATGGTGTTCAGCAGGCAGCAAGCTACTATTTGCTATCACTGTTATTCATATTTGTCTCTCACCCCCAAGACTTCAACTTCTTTAGACATCTCTGGTCCTAGCCAAGTAGCTGATGCCTATAGGATGCCTTTGAAGAATGGAGGTTGAAGCTGGGGACCGGTGGCTCATATCTGTAACCCTAACTAGTCAGGAGGCTGAGATCTGAGGATCACTGTTCAAAGCTAGCCTGGGGAAGGAAAGTCTGTGAGACTTTTATCTCCAATTAAAAAACAAGTCAGCTCAAGTGGTAGCGTGCTAGCCTGCTAAAGGACAGCACCCAGGAGCCCCACTACTGGCACAAAAAGAAAGAAAGAAAGAAAAATAAAATAAAATGGAGAGACCAGTCCAGCTCTAAGGTTGGAGCTACATGCAGGTCCTGATGGCTCTGCCTCTTGGATGTTGAACATGTTGTGTGGAACACAAGGCACATACCTCGTGGACTGTCTGTGCAGGGTGGATCCGGAAGTTGATTGTTGCCTGGGCCATGGAGGGGATGACATTCACCTAGGGAGAGAACCACAAAACGGTACCTGAGCCCACTTCAAGTCTTCTGCACCTAACCCCTGCCCAGAAACACGAATTGCCTCCAGGAGTGACAGAGGAAGCTGTTTTACTTTGAGGCCCCAGGGCTTAATTTTTAGTCTGCCTTTGTCTTCTCTGAGCCCTTGCTATGTGGTTACATTTAGAACTAGAGGTTAGGTCTTGGTCCTAATGGGGTCATAGGAACTGCATAGCAGGGTTCTTCTCTGTTTTGGCTCTGTGCAGTGCTATCAGAAGCCTTCTGTATGTCCTTTTAAGGGCACCCTGGATATTTTTTTCTTTTTCTTTTTTGGTGGTGGTGGTGGTGGTGGTGGTGGTGTGTGTGTGTGTGTATATGTGTATGTGTGTGTGTGTGTGTGTTTGTGTGTGTGGGGGGGGGGGTACTGGTGATGGGGCTTGAACTCAAGGCTGGGTTCTGTGCCTTGACTTTTCACTCAAGGCTGGCACTCTGCTACTTGAGCCATACTTCCATATCTAACTTTTTGGTGGTTAATTGGAGATCAGAGTATCATAGATTTTCCAGCCTGGGCTGGCTTTGAACAGTGATCCTCAGATCTCAGCTTCCTATGAAGCTAGGATTACAGGCATGAGCCAGTTTAGCCGTGTGATTCTGATAACTGTTTCTTCTTTGAGCCTCTATTTCCTCAACTGGCAGTTGGGGCAATGCTATTCATAGGATTCTTAGAAGGGTCAAATAGAGTGACAAATGTGGAAGCATGCTCGGGGAGAAAACCTCCCACTTTGAAGCAAGAACATATATCACTCGATTGGAAAGCAGTACAGGCAGCTGGTCAGGTCACACACTGAACACACCAGTTAGTTATGCTAGGAATTCATTCGGAGGCACCATTCACTCATATCCAACTTGGGCTTCAGATTACCAGTGCTCTTCAAGGTCATATTGTCCCCCAGGCAGATGGCGCCCCCAAGGGTGCTTCCTAAAGATGTACTGGTGTTACTGATGGTTATAGGAATGGCCTAAGTTCCAAGATTCCAGGAAGGCCCCTGGCTTGATTCTTTGGTGTCCCTTAGTGGCCAATCCAACTAGAAGTGGACCAATTTACCAAAAAGTCACTTTTGGAGCAAATGTTGTCTTTTTTTTCCCCCAAGGTATTGACTCACCTGAACTTATCTCTAGAAAAGTAAACCTCATATAAAAATTATGTTTGCTAAGGCCATCTAATATTTAGTAGGTTTTGGGAAAAGATAGCATGTAAGTTTTAAGTGCTATATATATTACACCTATTAGGTTTTATAAATGCAAGGGAGCTTCTCTTAATTTAGTATTACATCAGGAGAAAATATATTAATTACTCACTAAATCAGTTAGGTGGATAAGTCCTTTTTTTTTTGGGTCTGGTTGTGGGGCCTGAACTCTATGCCTAGGTGCTGTCCCTCAGCTCTTCAGCTCAAGGCTGGTGCTCTACCACTTGAGTCATAGCACTACTTCCGGCTTTTTTTCTTTTTGCTTATGTGATGCTGAGGAATCGATCCCAGGGCCTCATGCATAAAAGGAAAGTGCTCTACCGATGAGCCACCTTCCCAGCCCCTGGATAAGTCTTTTTTTTTTTTTTTTTGGTCCGGTAGTGGGGCCTGAACTCTGGGCCTGGGCGCTATCCCTCAGCTCTTCAGCTCAAGGCTAGCGCTCTACCACTTGAGCCACAGCGCCACTTCCGGTATTTTTCTTTTTGTTTATGTGGTGCTGAGGAATCGAACCCAGGGCCTCAGGCATGCAAGGCATGCGCTCTACCACTGAGCTACCTTCCCAGCCCTGGATAAGTCTTTTAAAACATGGGAATGCTTTTTTTTTCATACTTGGATTTTGAACTCAGGGCCTCAGGTTCATGTAGCTTGCTTTCTTGCTCATGTCCTTAGCCTGGTCTTTTGCTGGTTATTTTGGAGATGGAGTCTTTTGGCCTTTTCAGCTCAGGGTTGACCTCAAACTTGTGCTCCTCTGGATCTCTGCCTCCTGAGAAGCTAGGATGACAGGAGTGAGCCTGACATTGAGAATGATTAAAAAAAAAGATCTCTGATGGTAGAAAGGTTAGAAACCTTTAGTCTATCTGATCATAGTGGTAAGTAAATATTATCCATGTTGAATTCTAGCCAGAGTACAGATCGCAAGATGCAACTTGCAAACAGCTCCTCTTCATATGAGTATAATGGTTGTTTGAGGAAAGAAAGTTCCTCTCAAGGTCACTAGATACTCACCACTGAAATGCACATAGAGAAAATTTGGCCAGTAATTTCAAGGGCTTATAGACCTAGCTAGACCTCTTGACTCTTGAGGACAGAGGACAATGATAGAGAACAGCATTTATCCTTATTATTCAAACTATAGCTAGAAACAAGATAGATAGTCCAGGAATGGAGGAGGAAGTGGGCAGGGAGCAGAAGGCACATGTGACAACCTTGCCTCTGATAATCATACCTTGATCCCTGCATTGAACATGGTGAGCGCCGTGGTGGTCCTGACCAGAGCATTGGTTATATGATTTCTTTCCATTAGCCTAAAGCAAAGGGACTGAGGTCAAATGGTAGGAAGAATTAGCCAATGGGGAGAAAGAAAGGATTGGAAGTTCACCCACTTTTCTATATCATAGAGATCTTTAAGACTGAGAGAGGTAACCCATATATGTATATTATTAGATGTAGCATCTATGGATTGGGATTAGTCAGGCCTGGGCAGGCCAAGGAGAGGGACTGAGTGGTTTGTAGGATTGGGGTGGGGGATTCGGAGGAAGATAATACTTTACCTGCCTACAAGGGGTTGAAATAGCCACAGATTGTTCAAGACCACATTGGTAGGAAAGGGAAACTGAAAGGGAAAGAATAGGTTAACAGGATCAGAGGGACTGGCCCAACCTTGGGGCTGTCGCTGAGGCCTGAGTCTCCCTATCCAGGCTTGCTTTGGGGCCTTGAGTGGTCAGTTCAGTTGGCTCAGACCCTGCTTAAGGGCGAGAGAGTTTTTGTCTGTCTGGATTTTTAGCTGATTGGTTAGAACAATTGTTTAGCAGCCCCAAGGATGAGTTGGAACCAACTTCTAGAGACTGGGTGTGTTAGGTCATAGATACTCCCAGAAACTCCAGGGAACAAGCCAGGTCTCTTGATCAGGTTCAGCTGTTGGCTGGGAGTGGGGAAGCATGGCAGAACACTGGTCAGCACTAAGGTCATTTCCTTACTCCAAAGGTCCCTTCTCTGCCACCCGGTGGCTCATCTTCCACAGCTAGCAGGAAGTAAGTGATTTTTCTCCCATACCTCATTTGCCAGTTGCTTTATTGTCATCTTCAATGGCCCACTTCCGAACATGTTTGGCATTGGTGTCTTCTCTAGTCTGAGAGAGAAACAGAGTTCTGAAGAGCTAGCCACTCCAGCCCAAGATCAGAGGCCCAAAGAGGAGGAGGGAGATAGGAGGATATTTTAACAAGCCTGATCAGAAGGTCTGCCATTCACCTCCCCATCGCCTCTACTAGTGCAGCTTTTCTGAAGATCTGAAGGCCCCGTCTGGACCACCTTTCCTCTATACTACCAGCAGGAGCTTTTCCTTTCCACCAGGTCCAAATTGGGCTCCCTTCCTGCTCCCTCCCCACTGCTGCTCTGACATCCTGTGTGTCCACACTGCAGCAGAACTGTTAGTCTCTGCCAACTGTGACTCTTCAGGCCACCTAATCTTTCATTCCTTACTGTACGTCTGTCCCCTGGAGCAGAGCCTTCACTATGGTCGCTACCCATTTAATATTTGATGAGTATCATTCTTCCTCTTACTTCCTCCCTCCCCGTCTTTTATCATTTTTTTTTTTTTTTTTCTTGTGCCAGCCCTAGGGCTTGTGCTGAAATCTCTAAGGTTTTTCACTCAAGACTGGCTCTCTTCCACTTGGGCCACACTTTCACTTCTGGCTTATGGGTGGTTAGGGATAGAGGTCTCACAGACTTTCCTGCCTGGGTTGGCCTCACACCACGATCCTCATATCTCAGGCCTCTGAGTAGCTAGGATTACAGGCCTGAGCCACTAGTGCCCAGCTTCTTCCTACTTTTCTTTTTTTTTGGTCTGGTCATGGGGCCTGAACTCTGGGCCTGGGCGCTGTCCCCCAGCTCTTCAGCTCAGGGCTAGAGCTCTGCCACTTGAGCCACAGCACCACTTCCGGCTTTTTTTCTTTTTGCTTATGTGGTGCTGAGGAATCGAACCCAGGGCCTTATGCATGCAAGGCAAGCGCTCTACCACTGAGCCACCTTCCCAGTCCCTTCTTCCTACTTTTCTAAGCAGGTGAGTACTACTCTTGCTGTCCTGGCCCACAGCTGCAGTCTTTATTAACCTTCTCCTCCTGCCAAACAGGCAGAGAATGTAGATAGCTCTACTAGTCATTGCCAGCTTGTGATTTCTAACTGTTTACCTGGACTCTGAACTACCCAGCTCCCTGACCTAGCTTTTGTGGGCTGCTACCTGTGAGTCCTGTGGAAATACTCATCAATCTGACCCCAGCCCCTGTTTGGGTGCTAATGGCTTCTCTAAGCCTTACACTGTGACTTCCCATCTCAGCTTCAGGGCAGGAGGATTAGTCTAAATGTCACTGGGAAAGTGCTAGGTCTTCCATCTGAAGCAGAGCATGGGGCCAGGAGATGCTTACCGGCTGACAGCAGCAGACAGGATACCAATGCTTGTCTCCTTCGGAGGAGCTGAAGAGTGGCCCGGAGTCATATTTACTTTCAGCAGGAGGTCAAGTGCCCCCTTCTCTGAGACTGAAACCCTATAGAAGAGGATCACAGAGGGCCCTCCTGTGCTATCCCAGAAGCCCATGGGCCCATGGGCGTGGTGGTCTGATGAGCAAGAAGGAGAAGCCCGGGTAGTGTGAGGATCAAAACATCTAAGGGTTAACACTAAAAGGATGTTGTCTCAGCAGGGTTTCCAGATACTAGTCATCTCAAATGGGGTGAGATCCCCTTCCAAGATGGAGGGTGGGGAGCTTTACTCACATGGCAAAAGGCTTCTTGAGGCTAGGAATAAAACCATCCAAGACGAAGCTACCCTCATCCACAAGGAAGGCTAGCTTGACACCCCTTGCCTGCAGCAGTGCTGAGATCTTCAGAGCTCCTTTCATCCCCGAGACCTGTAGACATCCCATTCAGAACCATAGTCTTTCTCAGTCAGAAATAGCTCTTAAGATAGCTAAACTAACACTGATTCAGCTTAGCTAAGAGTTCTAGAACCTCCCTTCTTTATCTTCTTCCTTTGGAGGTGGGCAAGGCCTAAGGCAATTCTACTTCCCAGAGTCCTTCAATGTCAGAACTGGAAACCCTCCCTACCCCGACTTCACAAATGAAGAAACTGCGACTCAGAGTGTGATGTGATTTGCCCAGGTTCAAAACCAGGAGCATTACTAGAAATGAAACAGATGTTTCCCAGGTGCAGTTGACAGCCTGTCTCAGACATTATCAGAGATCTGAATATTAACTATTCACATTTACAACACAGAATGGGGAATCTGAATGTGTGTGTATGAGGGAGAGGGGCTGGTACTGGAGCTTGAACTCAAGGCCTTGAGCTCTCACTTGGCTATTTTGCTGGTTAACTGGAAATAACAGTTTCTCAGATTTGTCTGCCTGGGCTGACATTGAACCACTATTGTCAGATCTTAGCCTCTGGAGTCGCTAGGATTATAGGCATGAACCACTAGGGCATGGCTCAGGAATCTGAATTTTGTTCACAGTCCGTAGACAATTCTGGCACCCAGATCACTGGAGAAGTTGGCAAACAATCACACCATATCATCATGGAGGCCTAGCAGTTGGGGAGCACACTGGATTAGGGGGAAGCCCCCACCCACCAGAGATAGCTATTAGGTGCGGCAACTCTACCTCCTCATCATGGCCCAGTGAAATGAAGAACGATCTCTGTGGGATATAGTTTCTGATCAGTAGGAGCTCCAAGGCCTGCAGGATTGCCTAGAGGTTCAAAAGAACAATGGAAGCAGAAGAGGGCTTAGAATCTAAGCTGAGAAGGAGAAACATTCAGTTGTGTTGAATGTGTCATCAGGGCTGGTGAAAACCGGACTTGATAGACTCTCTTCAAGAGAATAATTGGTTCAGGGGACCAGTCGTTCAGGACGTCGTTTAGCTCTGCACAAAACTTTTGCCACCAGGAGAAGAATATAAATATTGGAGCTGAATTGTCTACTCCAATCCCTATACAAGGTCCAGAAAAGGGAAGTGACAAATGGATGGCTGGAACCCAGGTTTCCTGGAGCCAAGATTCTTTCAACGGGAGCCTCCTTCCTCCTAGAAGCTAGCCAAGTGCTCCCATCCTGGAAGATTCTTTGGGCCCCAAGGCAGAGGAATCAGCATTACAGACCATCACGGAGTTCTTGTTGTCCAGTGTGCCCCGTCCATGGATGAAGCCATCGCGTTCCAGCCCAGAGAACGGGGGCACTTCCCAGCCATCTTCAGGGGCAGGCACCACGTCAAAGTGAGCCAACAGCATGTAGGGCTGCAAGCTGGGGTCTGAGCCTTGTACAGTGAGCAGGTGGCTGTACTGTCCCACGACTTCATGTTGGACAAAGCTGGTGCTGAACACTTTAGGAAAAACTAGATACAAAGGGATAAAAAGCAGGAGAGGAAGCTGGCTTCCCATCATTTCCTACTGCTTATTTTTTTTTTTTTTTAAGTTAACATGCATTATCCTTTAGGAAGCTTGTGGAAAAAAACCAGGCTGGATTCTGCAGATCCAGGTCAATCTCTCAGATTCTTCTTCCTCATATTTGAAAATGCTGTGTAATGACATGCAACCAGCCCCATCGATAAGGTGTTCAGTCTCCCAAGTCTGGCACAGTTTGACCTACATACTACCAAATGTAGAAACCTTTGCCGATGAGGGCTGTATTTATTTTGAATACAGTACTTTGCATTATCTAGGTTACTCAGGATCCAATCTAAAACTTATATTTAAAAATTACTGCCAGACCTAGTGGAACATGCCTGTAATCTCAGCACTCAGAAGGCGGAGACAGGAGGATAAAGAGATTTAAGGCTAGCTTGGGGTACATAGCAAGATTCTGCTCCCTCAGCTCCCCCTCTAAAAAAAAAAAAAAACAAAAAAAGAAAATTCAAAGCTGAGTGTAGTAATTCACACCTGTAATCCTTGCTACTGAGAAGGGTGAATTCATGAATATCATGGCTTGGAGGAAGCTGGGGTCAAAGTGTGTGAAACTCTATCTCATTCAATAAAAGTCATGTAATTAACGGTCACCCCACCTACAAACGTAAGACCCCATCTTAAAAATCATGACAGCAAAAAGAGCTGTGGTTATGGATCAATTGGTAGGAAGTCTGCCTAGAGTGTGTGAGTTCAAAAATCTCAGTACTGTAAAAAATTCAAAGAAGTTTTTATTTTAATAAATCAGCATGCCTACTTATTATATTTTATGGAGATAAAGTTTACTTTGTCTGGCACAAGGCCACAGTACTGCATACAGGGGTGAATGTTCACAGGGTTATTTAAATCACAGAAAGGCTTAAGCAAAAGAAATTCAGGAACATTGCCCAGATCCTGGGGCTTGAACTCAGGATATGGGCACTGTTCCTGAACTTGGTTTTTTGTCGGTCGTGGGGCTTGAACTCTTGTCCTGGGCGCTGTCCTTCAAGTCTTCACTTCAAGGCTAGCACTCTACCACTTAAGCCACAATGCCACTCCTGGCTTTTTTCTGCTTATGTGGTGCTGAGGAATTGGATCCAGGGCGTCATGCATGGGAGGCAAGCATTCTACCACTGAGCCACCTTCCCAGCCCCTCTGAACTTCTTTTGCTTAAGGCTGGCACTCTACCACTTAAGCCACAGCTCTACTTCTGGTTTTAGGTAGTTTAGTGGAGATAAGAGCCTCACAGACTTTTCTTCCCTGGACTGGCTTTGAACCCAATGTTGGAGTTTGAACATTCACAACATTTTCCCTAGCTACATGCTATACATTAGATACTAGAACACTAGCCTTGAGCACAAAAGTCCAGGGACAGTGCCCAGGCCTGAGTTCTAGCCCTGGGACCTGTACAGAAAAGAGGGGGGTGGGGGGGGGGGAGGAAAGAAGGGGAAGGAAAGAAGGAAGGAGGGAGGGAGGGAAGGAAGGAAGGAAGGAAAAGAGAAGGAAAATAAAAATAAAAAGACAGCTTCTAGATTTATTGAATTTTTAGTGTTCTGCCACTTGAGCTCCACTTCTGGCTTTTTGGTAGTTAATTGGGGATGGGGCACAAGCTGGCTGCAAACCCCAATCATCCAATCTCAGGCTTCTGAGTAGCTGGGATTACAGGCGTGAGCCACTGGTGCCCAGCCTCAGGAGCCTTTTTCTTTCTTTCTTCCTTTCTTTCTTCCTTTCTTCCTTTCTTTCTTTCTTTCTTTCTTCCTTTCTTTCTTCCTTTCTTTCTTTCTTTCTTTCTTTCTTTCTTTCTTTCTTTCTTTCTTTCTTTCTTTCCTTCTTCCTTCCTTCCTTCCTTTCTTTTTTTTTTGGGGGGGGGGTCATGGGGCCTGAACTCTGGGCCTGGGTGCTGTTCCTCAGCTCGTAAGCTCAAGGCTAGTGCTCTACCACTTGAGCCACAGCGCCACTTCTGGCTTTTTTCTTTTTGCTTATGGGGTGCTGAGGAATTGAAACCAGGGCCTCATGCATGCAAGGCAAGCGCTCTACCACTGAGCCACCTTCCCAGCCCCATGGAGCCTTTTTCATAGCAACATAAACATGAACATAAGCTAAGATCATATGCTATATAGCCCTTGACAGAAAAAAAAAACCTGTTCATTAGATAGTATCTAATGTATAACATGTAGCTAGGGAAAACGTTGTGAATGTTCAAATTCCAACCCACAGCAATGTGGCTTAGTGTTTCAAAGGGCAAATCTAGTCTATTCTCTCTCTGCCTCCACTCTTGTATTTTTCCTATTATACTTCTTCACTGTTTACAAACTCAGATCATTAGGAATTAAACTGTCCTCTGATCAGTGACAAAATATACATCTTTATCACCTTGTAGAAGAACCATGTCTCCACCACCATCTCTACCACCCCCCAAGCACAGTTTGTAGCTGACCTTTGCGAATGTATTCTCCAAACTCAGTCAGGGCTGTAGTGTTGGATTCCTCATGGCTAAAAGACACTGTTGGAATCTGGATGGCACCTGTCAGAGTTTAACAGACAGAGATGGAAGATTAAAGATGGCACAGAATCGGGCATTTCTAATTAAAAGAGAAATTCTAAAATCCTTCTCAGGCATGGGTAGTCCTGGTATGTAATACCACCATCACTGGGAAGAGTGATGTAAGAAGATCATGAGTTTCCAGCTAGACAGGGCCACAGAGCAAGTTTGAGGCCAGACTGGACTATATAGTGAGACCCTGCCTCAAAAACTGTAGCAAAACAAATAGACAACAACCACCACAAAAAGCTGCTCCCCAACAAATTCTTCAGTCTTTGCCTGGGTGGGGAAGCATATTTTACCAACCGGCTGTGAAGTTGTTCGGTCTGATCCTATCAAGAACTATAGCTAAGACTTGAAAGTCAACAAATCTAGGAGTTTTTTTTTTTTTTTAAAGAAATTCATAAATCTAGGCCTGAGATCCATGTCATAAATATCCTAATGAACCTTGGCAGAAAAGTAATCTCAACCTTCCACCCCAGGCTCAGTCCACCTTCATTCAACCCCAGCGGCTGGGTTTTGGTCCCCGCCTCTGCCTGCATGCGCATATCTACGAAGGCAGTTTCTCTGGATCCACTATTCATGGAAAAAATCAGGAGCTGAGCCCACTGGTGAGGACGCATCTCATTATCCAGCATGATCTAGAACTCTGCAGAAACTCTCCTCTCTCCGTGGAAACAGATGTAGAAGATGAACGCTCGCAGGTGAGCCCAGGACCCGGGTTCACCTTTGAGCGCCTCTTTCATCCCGACGAGCTCCTCTTCGCTGAACTGAGCAGGGATTCGCGGGGCGCCCCTGTCCTTCTGGCCATCGGATCTGGAGACACAGGCAAAGATCATAAGCAGCACAGCCGCCAGGGCCAGCATGCAAACCCGAGCCATACTTCTCCGGAGCCGGGGCTGTCCGTCGGCAGCAGGAGTTTGGACCTAACCGCTGGCCTGGCTGCTCTAGTTCCCACCATCTGCCTTAGTCCCACCCCACTCCCACACCTGACCAGTCACGCCTGGCTCGGGATGCTGGCCAGCCAATCGACGGGACGACTACGCCCCGTGCCGCAAGGCCCTTTGGGGGTTGTAGTTTCTCACTTCGTAGCAGCCCTGTGACTAGCTGATGTGAGGTAGGGCCTTAGGCCAGGGTTTGGACTAGTGCGTCCTATCTGCTCTGAGACATTGGTAAACTCCTGGCTTTTGAGAACAAGTTCAATTAAAGGGAAACGCAGAGAAGGGCAAAATAAAACCAACAGAGCTAATCAAACAATCTGTTTCTGGCTTCTGAAGTACTGATATTGACTACTATCTATCTAGGGCTAAAGAACTGTAAGCTGAAGTTGAGTATTGAAGACTCACACTTATAATTTTAGCTACTCAGAAGGCTGAGATACGAGGATCACAGTTCAAAGCCAGCCCAGGCAAAAAAATCAGTACAACTTTTATCTGCAATTCACTAGCTAGAAGCTGGAAATACAGCTGCGGCTCAAATAGGAGAGAGCCATTCTTGAGCAAAAAGAGCACACACACACACACACACACACACACACACACACACACCTTATGCTACAATGGTCAAAAAAAATCATGTAGAGCCATAGAAGGAAAAAGAGAAAAAACAAGAAGTAAATAATGAAGCTGTTACTGGTTTTTTTCCCCAAAGTAGGTCCTTTTACCCTCTTGGAATTGCAAAACTATTAACAAGACCAAGCACCAATTAAACAGAGAAGGAAACTTTTATCTTGATAAATAAAAAAAAATAGGTGAAGAGGCAGATAAACTGGAAAATCAACTTGCTCAGTACTTGGATGTAGGAATATATATAATATAAAATATTATATATTATATATATATATAGAGAGAGAGAGAAAATAAAGTGAGGGAAATCTTTTCTGGGTGTGGGTGGAGCTTTCACTCCTTTCGTGATTCTTTCCAAAAGTCACCATGGCAGTTACTGTCTTAGCCCTGGGATGTGTGGTCATTTAGCACAAAGATAGGATTGTGAGAAAGGTAGAGGCTGTCTGAGAGTCACCCTGGCAGCCACCTTCCATCCAGCCAGTTTCATCTAATCCACCTGAACTGGAACTTCTAGTCTTCTGGCTTTCATAAACAAGATGAGCGTGGGTAGGTACTTGGTTAGGTCACTCAGCAGCTTCTGGAAGTTAATGATATATATTTACCCAGTTTTCCAGGACTGATCACTCCTTGCCCACAATAAGTGTGTGAGGTCTGGGGACTCCAGCCTGCTCTGCCACCTCAAGGGTGAGCTGCCCTGGTACTTCCGCTTTCATTTTGCCCTGCATTAGTAAACCTGTTCCTGCTTGCCGCTCCACTGTGTTCCTCCTTGTATTCTTCCTCTGATGAGATCAAGCATTTTCTGGCCTCTGGACCTGGTGACTTAAATCCAATAACACTTTGACTGTATCCATAGTTAATGGTTTCCTCTGCTGTTTTTGGCCAGACTAACAGCTTTGCTGTCTTCAAATTACTCCACTGAAGCAGTGGTCTATACCTGTAGTCCTAACCACTGAGGAGGCTGAGATCAGGAAGATTGTGGTTGGAGGGTAGTCCCAGCAATGTGTGTGTGTGAGGCTCTGGCAAAATGTGTATGAGACTCCCGTTTCAACTACTAAAAGTCTACATGCTGTGGGATGTGATTGTCACCCTGCTACATGGGAAGCATAAATAGGAGGTTCAAAGTTCGGGCTGCACAAACACAACGCCCTATCTTAAACATAACAAAAGCAAGCTAGGCACTGGTGGCTCACACCTGTGATCCTAGATACTCAGGAGGCTGAAATCTGAGGATTGTGGTTCAAAGCCAACCTGGACAGGAAAATCCAAGAGACTCTTATCTCTAATTAACTACCAAAAAAAAAAAAAAAAAGAGACAGAAGTGGAGCTAAGGACCAAATGATAGTGCAATAGCCTTGAGCACAAAAGCTCAGGAATAGTACCCAGGCCCTCAACTGGAAACAAACCAAAGCAAATTGGACTAGGTGGAGTCACGGCTCAACTGGTGGACTACCTGCCTAAGTAGGCACAAGGCCCCACATTTAAATTCTAATACCACCACCACCAACAACAACAACGAAAAATAACAATAGAATGGTAATATGTTCTAACTTTCCTCTCAAATAATACTAGGACCATGTTGTAATTATACAACCTGGGTAAAAATGGGCTTTAAAGATACGTTTTTTTTAGCCAAGTGCCCATGGCTCATACCTGTAATCCTAGTTAGGAGACAGATCTGAGGATTGTAGTTCAAAGCCAGCTTGGAAAGCAAAGTCCATGAGACTCTTACTTCCAATTAACCACCAGGAAACCAGAAGTAGAACTGTGGTTCAAAGTGGTAGAGTGCTGGCCTTGAGCAAATAAAGCTCAGGGACAGGGCTGGGAAGGTGGCTCAGTGGTAGAGCGCTTGCCTTGCATGCCTGAGGCCCTGGGTTTGATTCCTCAGCACCACATAAGCAAAAAGAAAAAAGCTGGAAGTGGTGCTGTGGCTCAAGTGGTAGAGCGCTAGCCTTGAGCTGAAGAGCTGAGGGATGGCACCCAGGCCCAGAGTTCAAGCTCCACGACTGACGAAAAATAAAAAATAATATTTTTTAAGGTATCTGATTTAGTTGTTCCTGGTGTGCCTCCCACTGAGCCCCCTTTGGGGTGAGAATTCTGTGTGATGTTACCTGCCAGCCATGTCCTGCCTCCTTCTTCCTACCTAGTGGCTCTCCTGATGTGGCAGCTTGGGAAGTGTTCTGCTCTCACATTCATGACAAGCTGTAGTTACTGCAGAGCTCATCCCCATGGGCCACCGTGGCTAGTGGAAGAGGTGTGTGTGTGTGTGTGTGTGTGTGTGTGTGTGTACGCGCACGCGCGCATGTGCTTGCGCGCATGATACCAGGAGAGGGTGTAGGTAAAGGCATATTGCAGGGCTCCCTGGAAGGCTGTTGCCTTTCTCACGCTACCATGGTAACCTTGGTAATGCAGCCTGCCTTTTGCTTCCCATCCCTCCTTGGTTCATTCCTCTGGATCCCTGGGATTGCTTCGAAATAGCCTGGACATTGTCATTGGCTACAGATTCTGCTTCAAGGGCAACACAGGCTAAGACAACATCACTAGAAAAATATCTAACACTCAAATGGGTGAGATGCCACTTTGTTAATTTATCCCAGTCCTACTCTCCAGCTGAACAGTAGGATTAAGCAAGGTTAGTTTATTTTAAATATCTGTTTGGAACTCATTGACATCTCTGTTCTTGAACTGTATCTCCTTCCTTCCATCTCGCCAGTCCCACATGGAGAATGTCTGTTGTTTGTCTGTCTCCCTTCCCTCTTTGCTTTGTCTATTCTGTGGTCCTTCTTCCTTTTCCTTCCTATTTCTTTTCTTTTTCTTTTTTCCCTATTTCTGTTTTCTTCACACCTTTGCTCTATGTTTCTGTGATTCTTCCTGTCTCCTCCCTTTCCTACTGCTACTCAACAAAAGTTAGGGGTCAGTTTAGCTTGCTGGGTATTTGAGTCTTGTGGCTTTACGCTCCTTGTGATACCTCACTAACAGAGGGTGGCGGGGGAGGCAGTATTTGATCTGGTGTTTCCCCAATTTAGGATTCTGTAGGCTTTGCTGAGTACTGATGGTCTTGATCTAGAACAGACATTACATAAATGAGGAAGAGCTGATGGAAATGGAAGGTCTGCAGAGGAAACGATGGAGCTGTGCACCAGTGGTTCATGCCTGTAATCCTAGCTACTCAAGGGACTGAAATCTGAAGACTGAGGTTCAAAGCCAGCTGGGCAAAAATATCTGTGAGACTCTTATCCTCAGTTAACCACAAAAAAAAGCTGAAAGTGGAGGTGTGGTTCAAGTGATAGAGCTCCAGACTTTAATAATAATAAAAAATAATAGTAATAATAATAAGCAAGAGCATGAAGCCCTGAGTTCAAGCCTAGTACTAACCAGCCCCCCTGTTCCCCTACACACAGAGAAATGATGGAACTTTGACTTCCTCAATAGTCACTGAAACACAGAGCTGGCTTTCAAAACCAGTCCTGAGCATATAGACTACTCAGTCTAGATTTCTCTCCTTGATCGCTGCTCTGCAGCTGGATTATGAAAATGTTCATTCCTAGGAGCGAAAGACCAGAAGCTGGTGTTCCAGGTGCTCAGAGGCCCAAGTGCTAGCCAGCTCGGGTCTATGTTGCATCTTCTCAGGATGGTGCAAAGCCAATCCATCTGTCCCTGGAGGGGACTTGTTTGTTGCTCTGTAAAACCACCCAAATACGTGCACTTCAAAACCACTTTATTACCAAAATGAACAAAAAGGAGAATGACACTTAAATTAAATAAATTACACAAGCATCGTGAGAGGTTCTCAGCCCTCTTTGGGAATCCTATCATTACAGGTCATTATCAGGAAGCATGTTTAAAAGTATTGAAATTCTGGATTATTCTGTTACATTGTCCCCTTCTGTCCTGCCTCCATCATGTTCGGAACTGAGCAGACTGTGTGACATTTATGTTCTTTCCAAAATATCCCAGGCATTGAGTTTTCTTCAACATCTTCCCTTGGCTCATATGCTCCCAATCACACCTCCGCCAGAGCTCCAAATACAGCCATACATGTCTATCAGATTCCTTCTGGAGCCCCAATTCCAGGTCAGGGTGAATTAGCAATCCCTTCCAGTCCTGGGGCTGGCTTTTGAGGATTAATGATCATTTCAACGAGTCCCCAGAGGACCTAGACACTTGGTTCAAAGGGTGTCACTGCCTTGGGTTGTCCTGAGTCTCTGTGACCTTTTCCCACCTCTGAGGCCTGAGCTCCACTTTGAAGGAGGTGGAGTAGGGGAGGTGAGTTGTCATTGGCTAAGGTTTCTTGTCCGCTTGGAATTTGGTGCTTCCGAGTGCTGGGCACGGTGAATCCCAGATAACATTGTCTTCTGCCTTCCAAGTTTTG